ATTGTCCTAAAACTGGAAAATCCCCCCTTTTTAATGAATAAAATCCCATAACTCAGAAATGTAAAATGTAAAATTTATAAAATTCTAAACGGAGCTTACATCAATAGATGTAAAAAAATTCACCAAAGTTTCATACAAACTGCTGAAAGCATTTTTGATTTATTGTCCGAAAACTGGAAAATCCCCCTTTTTGTATGAATAAAACCCTGTAACTCCCTGTAACTCGGAAACGTAATATCTAAAATATATAAAAATCAAAAGGGAGCTCATGTCAATAGATATAAACAATTTCTTGCAAGTTGGTGAAAGCATTCTTAAGTTATTGTCCGAAAACTGGAAAATTCCCCTTTTTTTAATGAATAAAACCCCATAACTCGGAAACATAAAATCTAAAATTTATAAAAAACAAAAAGGAGCTCATGTCAATAGATATAAACAATTCACCAAAGTTTTATGCAAATTGGTTAAAGAGTTTTTGAGTAAATGTCCATGTTGACGACGGACGTACAGACGGACAACAGTATACCATAATACGCCCCGTAAACGGGCGTATAAAAATGCAATGAAATAATCCTATCAAATTTTTTTTTAAAGTTTTTTTCATGCTCTAACATCGTTGTCTTGTCTAAAACATGTAACTTATGTTGTTGGCCAAAAAAAAAAAATCCTACCTACAAGGCATGGGTAGGCAACATCAAATAAAATGCTCTGCTGGGGCGCAACTTGATACGACCGCCAAGGTTGAACCCTGAACAGTTGGGGCAAGTATGGACACAACATTCAAGCTTGATACAGCACTGAATTTGGATTGTAATTAAATATTTGACACAGCATAGGTTTCTGACACAGAATGAATGTGGTCGAAGAACTTAAATTTTTTTAATTTACCTATTCAAACCATATCATTATTATTTGCTTTTATATATAAATCAGAAATAACCAATTTAAAATGGAAAATTTTAAAGAAAAAAAAATGAAAAAAAAATCCCTCCCCCCAAATTTTTTTAACCCCCTTATGATTCATCACCCCCAAACTCAATCCCAGCCTTCCTTTTGTGGTATGGTACCTTGCAGTACAATTTCAGAGAGATCCATACACTTGAACACAAGTTATTGTCTGGAAACTAGAAAAATGCTTATTTTTTGCCCCTTTTTGGCCCCTTATTCCTAAACGTTTTGGGCAATTACCCACAAACTCAATTCCAGCTTTCCCTTTGTGATATGGAACCTTGTAGTACAATTTCATAAAGATCCATACACTTACACACAAGTTATTGTCATGAAACTAGAAAACTGCTTGTTTTTTTGCCCCTTTTTGGCCCCTTATTCCTAAAATTTGGAGGCAATTACCCCCAAAATCAATCACAGCATTCCCTTTGTGATATGGAACCTTGTGGTACAATCTCAGAGAGATCCATACACTAACACACAAGTTATGTCTGGAAGTTACAAAAATGCTTATTTTTGGTCCCTATTTGGCCCCTAATTCCTTAACTGTTGGTACCATAACCCCCAAAATCAATCCCCACCTTCCTTTTGTGATATTGAACCTTATGGTAAAATTTCATAGAGATCCATTCACTTAAACTAAAGTTAGAGTGGGCGAAAACCAATGTGTCTTCGGACGACAACGACGACGCCAACGTCATACCAATATATGACCGCAATTTTGCGGTCGTATAAAAAAGAATTTTTTAAGGGTGACCCAATGCAAGAACTTTGATAGCAACTTTTGACAATATGGCTGTGATACAAATGTAGCCTATATATGGATATGATTCTTATTTGATTCGCAAATCTATAAATGCTTGAATCGGATTAGTCTGTTAAAATTTTTTCCCTTGGTTTACACATCGATAGACCATGTTGCTGAAACTACTTTCATAACCTATACTGTGATCTATTCATTTGCGATACACATGCATGGGATCCAGGGGTTCTAAGCAAATTGAGATAGAAAAATTAAATACATAACTGTAATTTCTATTCTAATGCATAACAAAAAGAAATAATGCATTAAACATGTTAAAGTTTGGAAAATGTATGAAAAAAAATAAAATTCCACAAAACTTCATGAATGATCTTGGAGCATCAACATCATGGTAAAACATGACGTCATACGCATGAAAATTCTCAAGCTGAAAGTTATTCCATTACTTGTACACTTCAAATTGGGAAAAATATCTTATCTGCTTATTAAAATGAAGTTTTTGAGGTAGGTGTTATTTCATTTTAGATTCTATTGCATAAATTTATCAAACATTTATGGATTTCAGAAAGTCAATATAGCGGCTAACTCACCATTTGATGGTAAATACTAGTAGCCAATGAACAAAAAAATGTTATATTTAAAATTGCAAATGTTAAGGTTATGAATTTTTATGATTAAACACATTTCTTCTATACTAGGTTATCAATATGTAAACTGGGTAGCTGACTCACAAACTAAAAAAAATACATAATTTGTGAGTTAATGGGCCCAGTTTACACATCAATAACCTTTAGATAATTTGTTTTAAATCCTATAAAGAATTTTTGACTTGGAAAAAAAAATACTTTAAAACATATAACATGCATAGTGATAGATTTTTAGTGAAAATAATTTATAAATTTTATATATATATTTATCATTATTTAGTTTAATCATACTTATGCATTTATGATACTGGTCAACATTTAATATACATGTTCTACCTGTTTAAGTTTTCAGTCTTCACGATAAACTTTTAAATCTAAAGGCTGAAGCTGAATTTTACGAAAATTATGGTTAGATTCTATTGGCCAGTAGAGATGATTTTTACAGGCCTGACATCATGTTTACAAGCCTGGGCTGGTGGGCCTATGGTTGAGCGCGAAGACTGTGTATTAAATATACAATGTTGGTACTGACTAAAATAATTCTGTTTCACTTATGAATACTATATGTAAGTTCTCTCATGTGTCTTTATACAAAACAAACTTTTTAATCAAATGTTGTCTGTTCATCATGTTCATGCTAGACGTGCAGATTGTCATTATAAATAAATTGTAAATAATAGAAGAGTAGTTCACTACTTCAATGCCATGAACAAGGTAGGGATGCTCCAAAAAAAATGATAAAAATGTTTTTTTTCATAATTTATGATTAATACTTTATACAAGTTATCATTTAAAAACTATTTTATCAAAGATTTCTTTTTTTAAGAGGCTATAAAGTATATATTATGTCTACAAGAGTAATTAAATTTTTTTTTATCATAATTGAATAATTTTGTATTTATTTTTTTAAGTCACTGTAAGTTAGATTTACTTATTTACTTCTAGTATAAATTCTTTATTCTGCTTTCATTAACATTGTTCCAGGTGTATTTGAAATAAAGAAAAACTTCCGTAAAACCTGGGAACAGTATATCTAACGGGAAATGAATCTGATAGGCTTTTTAGTATAAAATTAATAAAATCTCGGACTCCACGAGACTTCGCGAGATTTATGGATTTTGGTAGCGTCTGACTGAAAAACTATCGGAACTGCGCAATAAATAAACCACATAATTCTAATCATAAATAGATACAAGTTTTATCATAAAGTAGATATATTTTGTCATTTTAAATGACCAAAATAAGTGTAATTTATTTGATGCGAAGTGTTTTAAAATGGTGTGAGAATTTGGGAATGCAATCGGCGTAATTTTTTTATTACCCTGTTTGCATTCTCTACCATTCTGTGATGAAATGAATTTGATTATAACGAATTTGAAGTGACAGATAACAAGTTCAATACACTGGCATCACTTTAAAACTATGTTTGAATGACATTTTAGTGATATTATCAGAAATTATTAGGATAATAGTGAGTACGTTTTTAACACATGTCCGTTTCCGTATCGTATCTTTATTAACTATGACCCGACGATAAAATCGGCTACAATTAGGTAGTGTCAAGTCCTGTCAATATATAGGTTCCTGGTAAAACTAATTACTTTGGCACCTGTCATTAATTGAGAATCACTTCCAATTGAAATAAACCAGATCAGTATTATGACACCTTTGGCTAATAAGGTAATAATATCATCATTTTCTTAATTGAATTAAATGGACATTGCAAATACACAATTACAAATGTATTTAATGCTCTATCCTCCTAAAAATTAAATTTAATTAGATCATTATAAAAATTACTTTTAACAGTAACAATACTGGTATACACTAATATTTGAGTATTAAAGCATTTTGTGAAAGAAAAAAGACAAAGGTGATCCCAAATATATTTTAGTGCTATTTTAAAGGCAAAATACACATATTCAGATTTTTATGAAATTTTGTATGCATCGTCATATGGAGTCTTGAGAACTCAAATACCCTCATTCAACATGTTCAATCAATCATTGTCAATTTGAGCCGCATCTGGATATATAAAATATGATACAAGAAGATTTTATGCTCCCAGAGAGAAAGTCAATTTAAAAATAGGTGTCCTTTAAGTATATACAAGGTTTGTCCTTGGTCACTGATCATGGATGTATAAAATGGATGAAAGTCGTATATATTTCAATGTTTTTAACAATTGTACCTAGAAAATTTTGAGGCATTTTCAATATGTGGAACGTATTCACGTGGATATAATTTTCTTCTCTTCAATTCATTTAGACATCGTAGATATGTTAATCGAAATGCATTTAACACAGTTCTACCCGATGTTGTCATTTTGGTTGTATAAGTTGTGTTGGTACCCGTACATACCGAAAATCGAAGAATAGAACGATAGGGAAAGGAGTCCTATTAAAACCGTAAACCAGACCTAAATTGCTAAAATTAAGATTTCCAATCCTAGTGTACAGAAACGTACATATAAAACAATAACACCCATTTGCATTAAGATTTATTTATTCAATAATTAGTATTATTTAACTTACATTTTGCATTTAAAAAAAATCATATCATGATTTTTGTCCTAAATGAGTAAATTGTGGAATTTCTGTATGGGGACTAGTAGGACATAATTTTTCTACAACCACATGGAAGTTAGCAGAATATATATTTGATAGGCTGGCGCGAAAGAACAGAAAATAAACACTAAAAATGACTGACATTGCGAATAAAAGGCATGAAATTGCCAAGGAGATTAGGGCTTTGTTAATGTCAAGTCCTGCAGCCCTGACAATTGATGAACTAAGGAGAGATTTTCATCAGTTCATGGACAAACCCATTCCCTTTAGGGAACTTGGGTACTCCAATCTTGAAGACTTGTTAAGAGACATGACAGATGTTTTACAGATTACTTATAGAAAGGGAATGATGTGTCTTGAAGTTATCCCAGATGACACAACCCGCCACATTGCAAAACTTGTGTCTAAACAAAAAATTCCAAACAAGAACAAATATGCCACAATGAGGAGAGGACCACCTCCTAGAAAGCAACAATATAAAGTTACATCTTCTTTGCCACATTATATAAGAAATAACATCTCAGAATTATTTAGATCCTATTCCAATGGCTTACCATTAACTCATTTTGATACAGCTTATTCTAAGCGCTTTGGTTCAATGTTTTCATTTTCAAGACTTGGCTTTGTGTCTATGAAAGAACTTTTATATTCTGTTCCTGAATGTGTTTTACTCAAAGAATTTCAAGCTGGAGAGTGGAGAGTTTTACCTGTACACATGAAAGCACCAGAAGGTAATTGGAGGACAAAAGGAAACAAACCTGGAGAAAGAACTTTAAGCCCTGAGAACAAACCCCCAGATGGTTGGTCTATGCAATATGACCTGAGACAAGCAGTGGTAGAAACTCGGCAACAATACAACAGCATGTTACCATATAGAGTTGAATCAGGAAGACCTGATACTACTTCTCAACAAAAGCCAGTCAGAGGGAGAGGGAGAGGTAGATTTGTATATAACATAAATATAAAAAATGTTTTTTTTCTTTTTTTTTTTGACATACAAAAAAGAAAATAATTTATTAAAGAAAAATTAGAAGGGATACATGTACATGTATATCACAACCCAGAGAAGTTGAATTTAAGTGTTTTACTGGGAGAATCGCATAACCAGTAGGAAACCTAACTCACAAGTAGCCTGAAACTCATAAGCTGCAATATTTAGAACACTTATTCATTCAACAAATTAGGTCCATTGTGCTTTACCTTTAAATGCAATTAAATTGAAGTGTATACAACATCATCAAAGGTGTTGCAGAGGTTCAAATTAGTGGTGATCTGAGGTCGGGAACCCATCTAAATTACAAAAGTGCTTTATACAGAACTTGACTTTTTAAGGTGGGCCTTTCACTTTAACATTAAATATGGATATGGCCCTAGACCTTTCATTCTTTAAAGCAAATTTGAACTGTGTTTTTTGAAAGTTGTTAAATTGGAGAAAGATGTTACATTGTACCTAGTTAATTACCATTTATAAGGTTAGGATCATTTGGGAAGGCACGTATTTGTAAACATCTTTATTCTCATAAATAAAGAAACAACTTCTTAAAGAAGTTGTTCTTTCTATTGACAATCACATTACCCCCCCCCCCCCCCCCCTTCCTCTAAATTAAAATGAAAAATTTACACACTTCACTTGCACAACCTTAACATACATAACTAATACGTCAGGAAGTTTAATACACTGCCTCAGTCGTTTGAAAGTGTACACAATACTCATTTCCACTATCATAACTTAGTTTAAAGTAGACATTGTCATGATTGTAGACTTGTATGTAAATTAAAAAAAAAAAAAAATATGTCCAGTGTATATCATCATGATCATAGCATGAAAGACATTAGGATGGAAAAAATAAAAATCAAAGTATTTTCTTTGCTTTTGCTTGTTTTACATTCCTTATAATATTGATGATTTTTTTTATATAGAAAATAGATCTTTAATTATCTGGTACATTTGTTGTACACCTGTTACCATGGTTACTGTTTATGATTTAAGGAATGAAGAGAAGCGCTAGCGGTGGAGATCAAGCATCTGTTGGTAGAGAAAGTGAATCCAGTTACAATTCTAATGAACCAGAAATAGATCTGGAATGTTGTCTTGAAACAGATCTTAATGATGGAACACAACAGCTGCAGACGGAGCTTAGAGATGTCAGTTTAAAATAATGAGAGATCTCACAATCTGTCTGATATTCTGACATGTAGGACAAATTTCTGTTTGATCAGATAGGCTTTGACAATGTGTCACAAAACTGCCAATAATTTTGTCAGACAGATTGACGGCTTTCAATTGGCCCCAGTTTGATTAATAAATGTCCTTTTTAGCTCATCTTGCCTAAAGAGCTATGTGAGCTTTTGCCATTACTGTGTGTGTCCATTGTCCATCCTTCCATTGTCTGTAAACTTTTCCATTTATAAGATTTATAAATCTTCTTTAAAACTTCTCAATAGATTGAAACCAAATTTTGTTTGCTTCATATACAGATAGGATGTCAACTTCAAAGTTTGTTGAGCAACTAACATGGCCGCCTTGTCTTAAAATAGAACATAGGAGTCAAAATTAAGTTTTGGCTAATATTTCTTAAACTACAACAAATGAGAAAAACTCACAAGGGTAAAATGGCCAGCACTACAAATTATATGTACCATGTAAATTAAAACAAATCTGCCCACCTATTTTGAAGTTAATGCCCCTGAAATGTTGATTTTTAACTTTTTTGGTATTTCATTGCCATTGTTTCAAAATCTATATGTGCAAGTGTAAATTGAAAATGCAAAAATGAACAGCATGACAAGATGTATCCACCCTGAAAATTGAGAAAAATCTAACCAGATTGCCCCTGAAATATTGATTTTTTTCCCCCCAATTTTTAACAGTTATTGGCTGTTACATGTATATGGTGAAAATTATAGGAGCTACATTAAAAGTGTAAATTGCAAAAAGGATGAGTTCACAAGATTTGTATACCCTGAAAATTGAAAAAGAAATCTGTCAACCTGTTTTGTAGTTATTCTGAAGTATCCATTTTTTGAAGTTTTTGGTTGTTATCATTAAAACTGTAGGCACTAGGTCAAAAGTATATACTGCAAAACAATGATCAGCATAAGATCTATCTTCTGTGAAAGTTACACAACTCTTTTTGGAGACATTGCCCCTGAAATGATGATTTTTACAATTTTTAGCTCACTAGGGCTGATGCCATCATTCGTCGTCATTGTCCGTCATCGTAAACTAATTCAAGAATCTTCTCCTCTGAAACCACTTGGACAAATACCTTCAAACTTTAACTGAATGTTCCTTAGGGTATCTAGTTTATAAATTTAATCCGAAAATTTGATCCATCAACAAACATGGCCGCCATGGCTAAAAATAGAACATAGGGGTCAAATGCATTTTTTGGCTTATATCTTAAAAACTAAAGCATTTAGAGCAAATCTGAAGGGAAGAGGGCGGGGGGGGGGGGGGGGGTAAAAATGTTCAATAGGTCAAGATCTATCTGCCCTGAAATTTTCAGACGAACCAAACAACCCATTGTTGGGTTGCTGCCACTAAATTGGTAATTTTAAGGAAATTTTGCTGTTTTTGGTTATTATCTTGAATATTATTGAAGATAAAGATAAACTGTAAACAGCAAAAATGTTCAGCAAAGTAAGATCTACAAAAAAAGTTAAATATGACAAAAATTGTCAATTGACCCTTTAAGGAGTTATTGCCCTTTTAAGATTATTTTACACAATTTGTTCATCATGTTAATTGTTTGCTAACATTTAAAAATCTTTTCCTCTGAAACTACTGGGCCTAATACTTCTAAACGTTAAGTGAATGTTCCTTAGGGTAACTGGTTTATAAATTGTATCCGAAGTTTTGATCCATTGACAAACATGGCCGCCATGGCTAAAAAAAGTACATGCGGTCAAATGCAGTTTTTGGCTTTTATATCATAAACTATAGCAGTTAGAAAAAAAGTGAAAGGGAGTAAAAGTGATTAATAAGTCAAAATCTATCTGCTATGAAATTTTCAGACCAATTGGACCACCCATTGTAGGGTTACTGTCCAAAATAGTTTATTTTTATGAAATTTTACTGTTTTTGGTTAATATCTTTAATATTATAATAGAGAAAAAGTGTAAATGGCAAAAATGTTCAGCTAAGTAGGATCTACAAGTAAGTCAAATGATCAAAATAGTCAATTGACTTCTTAAGGAGTTATTGCCCTTGAAACGTTTATTTTTTACATTTTTTTGGGCAAGTCTATTACTTTTCAAAAATCTTCTTCTCTGAAACTACTGGGCCAAATACTTCCAAACTTTAACTGGATGTTCCTTAGGGTATCTAGTTTGTAAATTGTATCCGAAGTTTTGATCCATCAACAAACATGGCCGCCATGGCTAAAAATAGAACAATGGGGACAAAAGCAGTTCTTGGCTTATATCTCAAAAACTACAGCAGTTTGAGCAAAAGTGAAAGAAGTTAAAGTGATAAATGGGTCATGCTCTATCTGTTATGAAATTTTCAGACAAGTTCGATAACCCATTATTTAGTTACTGTTGGAAATAGTTTATTTTTATTAAATTTTACTGTTTTTGGTTATTTTCTTCAATATTATAATTGATAGAGAGAAAGTATAAATGGCAATAAATGTTCAGCTAAGTAAGATCTACAAATAAGTCAACATTATCAAAATAGTCAATTGGCCCCTTAAAGAGTTATTGCCCTTAAAATTTTTTTTTTTACATTTTTTGTGAAAGTCTAATTACTTTTTCAAAAATCTTCTTCTCTGAAACTACTTGACCAAATACTTAAAAACTTTAATTGAATGTTCCTCAGGGTATCTAGGTGTCCAGAATTCTGAAATAGTTAATTTTTAGGAAATTTTACAGTTTTGTGTTATGTATTATCTTAAATATTATTATAGAAAGAGAGAAAGTGTAAATGACAAAATTGTTCAGCAAAGTAAGAACTGCAAATAAGTAAAATGCCTGAAACTGAAATTACAGGTGAGCGATATCAGGCTCTCACGAGCCTCTTGTTTGCAGCTTTGGCTGATATTTAAAAAAACTATAGGAGCAAGCTTAAACTTGTCAATTGCAAAAATGATCAGCAACACCAGAGTAACTATTGTATGTGCATATAAAAGTCAAATTTACCAAACTGGAGATTTTTTTTCATACAGGCAAAGGTGTACCTCTTGTTTAAGGTACCCCTTATATTTCTACCTAGTGAGTAAAAATCCTGACAATGTCTATATTTCTATTAAAATCCCAATTTTGATACAAAAAAAAAAGTTCATTATTTTGTTTTCTATGTGTTCAATAATTTATGCCATAATTTTGATCTAAAAGAAGTATTTTTAAATATTTTAAGAAACGGTTTAATGAATACTGTTGACACAGAGATATGTCTCGTCTGTGGGCAGAATATAAAAAAAAACCCCAATCTGATGGACAGCAACATTGCAACAATTCAAAGTCACTGGACCATAATCTAGTGGACAGGGCCTCGAAATGGTCATCAAACTGATTTGAACTGATAGTAATGCCACTTTATAGAGATATTATTTATCTATCACAAGTAGTTCCTATCAAACTGACTTAAGCAGAAAACTTAACATTGAAAATTGGTAATTAATTGAAAGTCACTGGACAAGTTAGTTTGATAGGAACTACTTTCAATAGACAAGGATATTTTCTGTAAAGTTACATTACTGTCTGTACATCTCAGTTTTTTTACCATTTCGAGGCCCTGCCCACTAGTTCATGGTCAAGCGACTTTGAATTAATTAGCAATATTGCTGCCATCCGATTGTCTTTTTCTGAATTTTATGCCGACAGACAACATATCTCTGTGTCAACAGTTTATATGAAATATATTGTGAAAAATCACAAGTAACAAATACTTATGGCAATCACTGTATGTCTTGTTATGAAAATTTAAATGAACATTGAATACTTTCAGTTGCTTGCTGAAAAACCAGATGGGATATGGGCTAGTCAGTTACCTTTCTTATATAAGGTTTGTATATAATGCAATGTTCCCATCAGCCTTGCACTTCATTTTTTATCTTCTACTTTTCTTTCAGTTTTAAAGGTTATCAGAAACTTCAATTAAGATGTGGGCTCAACCTTCTACTTTTTGAAATCAGCCTGTGACTTTAGAAATGTATGGAAAACACTGGATACAGTCAAACCTGAGTAAACTGGACCCTGAATAAACCGGTTTCCTGTCCATTCCGGCCGAAAATTAAAATCCCATTTTTTACCCTTCAAAGTCTTTGTTAGAATACCCTTTGTAAACCGGACCCTGTGTATTCTGAATACCGGTCTAATGATGCAGTCCCAATACTCTTAATTACATCAATTATTACCTGTTAAAACTGGTTTGTCTAATTATTTTAAAATGATAACAGTATTGATCGATATGCAATAAAAACATATTTGTTTATACAAGATGGCTTTTCAGGATAATCAATTAGCCAGCTGTTAAACCGTGAACTTACAATGGTATAGTGATGAGCTGTATTAATAAAACACTATAAAAGTGTAAATTAAACTAAAAGATACGCCGAATATATCTAGGATAGAACTTACGTTGTAACTTAGATCATTTTTTTTTTCAAATCGCGGAGTTAGAAAATTTACATCCTGGGTTCCCTGTTGTGAACCCCTAAACCAATGAACCAATGACCCTGATAATGAAGAAGACCCGGATGACAACAATCAATCAGTATTGTACACTACGACAATGTTTTGATCGTGATGAAATTTCGTTTAATAAAATTCTGGCTTTTTAATCGGCTATACCAACGTCGGAAATGAACGATGGAAGTAAAACGAAAAAGTGTCACAATTCAAACAACGTGATGATTATGATGCAAATGAAAACAATAAACACAAAATGAAAGTGAAAGTGACATGTCGAATACTGATGCTCCCGATGTCTATTTGCCATACTAGGATATGTAAAAAACGGTTAAAATATTATTTTTTTTAATTCGAGGAACAACCAGTTTCTTAAATTTATATAGCCAATGAATAAGAAGATTCAAAACAACGATCATGCAAAGTTATTACGTTATTGCTTTTTGTATTAATGAGTTTATAGCTTACAATCAGACAGAACTTTTACATGCAATATATCGGACGTCATAAGTCATTAACTTCTGAATTAACCGGCCAACGGTCCAAACCAGCCCTTTTTCTTAGTCCCATAGCCAGCCGGTTTATACAGGTTTTACTGTACTAAGTCAAATGATAACTTATACATGAACTTTGAAGTAACTTTTTTAAATGAGATGTTTATTTTTCTAAGTCCAATTTTTTTTTTGGATGGGTGATGGTAATGTTAGAAGGCACTTCTATGGGTGGTGGTTATTTTGGAAAGATAGCCTAAAAATTAAAAGGTAGAAGATTAAGCGAAAACATAAAATAAGAGCAAAAAATGGTGCACCTAGACCCAGAGCCATTTAGAGTATGGTGATTGTCTTGAGACCATATGATGATTTCTTGGATGAAAACTTGATAAAGTCATTGACAAAACATACTGTGGATTCATACATTTTAGTGGATTGAAGAAAAAATGTATTTTTGTGGAGATTTGATTTTTCTGGTTTTTCTAAAGTCTTCATACAACCCTATAGAAAATTTGTACTTTTAAATTTGTGGTTAACTTAGATACCTATGAAATAAATGAAAATTAGTACCCAACAAATAATAATGAATCCACACGTACAGTACCACAAATTATTAGCAATAACACTTTTATTACTGATCCACATCTTGACAGTTTCTTGAAGGTCAGCAATGAACAAGCAAGCTCACACCTAACCATTGTAACAATGTAAAGATGGCCTCCAGCATCTACTTTAACAATAACCTTTGTTATCTATCAATATTAGCTACACATGTTACTTTGGTTAACCTGTATTTGCCGTGGAAGTGAGTCGGTACCAAGCTATCTATATTTGAAAATTTAAATATTTTTCCATTTTAGATGAAATACAGCAAACTCCTAAATTTTAAAGACCTAGGGTATATGAGTGTTATAGAGTTATGTAATTCCTTTCCTGACCAGATTTTGATAGAACGACCTGTATCCAAGGGAGATTGGTTATTGTATGATGCTAGAATTCCTAGAAAATCAACTGAAAAGGGTAAATATTCAAAACATGCTACAAAAATTATAGTCTTAAGATCTTAAAAGAAAGTAGTGATCAGGCTGCATAGTTGGGAAAAATACTTTATTTCAATTTGTATGTTTTTCATGATGAATTCCTAGTTTGTGTGTTTTGGTTCACATGAACATCTGCTGAAAAGTAAGATGAGAGCAGACATCAATGATTTTCACTAGACAGGTTCTTCCTTTAAAGTGCTGACAGAAACATAATGCACTTGTCATGTTAGATGATAACTAAATTTTTGAATCCTGATAAAATGTTTGTTTCTTAACAGTTTTATTTAAATGTAACACATTGATAATGCCCTATATGCCAACAGCCTATAAACAGGTTGAAATTGAACTTTTTTTACTAGCAAAAAGCTGTGAATAAATTGAACAGACTATCAAACATGTCAAAGATTTATCACAACATAAAATTCTTCAAATGGCTAAAAACATTACGATATGACAAAAGACAACTGCTGACTAGGTTCCTGACTACCCGTCCTTCATCGAATTACACACATGTATATTTATGATAATGCTATGTGAAGCAGTAAATAGTAAAGAAGTTATTTGAATATATTATAGAGCGTGTTGATTCAGATAAAAACAAAATAGAGGAGAAGAGGAAACATCATAATAGTCAAAAAGGTGCTGATCCAGAGTTGAAGGAAAAAATTAGACAAGTTGTCATGTGCCGGAAAGATGGAATTCCGTTAAAAGATTTTTTGGCATTTTATCAGGTATTTAGTAATAAATGTCAGTAATGAACAACGTCAAAACAGTTTGATGCCACTATTGTCTAATAATGTCATAACTAATATCATGAATATAGGAAACAATTTAAAAGAGAAATAAAAAATTACTGCAAGTTAGAAAAAGATGATTACAAACCCTGTTTTACTATATTAAAATTAGAAGATGGGGTATGTTTGCCAATGAGACAAATCTCCACCAGAGTCATAACAACGTAGAACTAAGGAACTATAGGTCACTGACTGCCTTGAACAATGAGCAAAACCCATTTCGCATAGCATTCTGTAAAAGGCCCATAGATGACAAATGTAAAACATTTGATTTATGTACAAAACAATAATCGAAAAAAAATATGATATACTGCAACAAACTGCAAGCACAGAATTACAGGCTCCTGACTAGGGACAGGTTTGGTTCTATATTTAATGTGCATTGTACATACACTTCATTTGAACTTTGGTGGTTAGTTGTCTCATTGGCAATCATACCTTATCTCCTTATTTTTATATAGTGCAGCTAATTGGATGCAGTAAGTACACACTCAAATAGTTTACATTTCAGTAGAGTTGGTGTGCTGTTTCACTTTTCAAATTGATAGTCATGGACAGACTGAAGATACCTCTAAGGGCTTTGACCTCCCGCATCACTGAAGAGACATTTATTGTTGAAATGCGTATCTGATGCAGAAAAATTGCTATTGTTAATCGTATTAATGTTCAACTGCTTTGCCTTAGTGGTATTTTATAAAAGCATTATCAGAAATATTATAAGTCAAGCCACACCAATTTGATTTGTAGTTCTTTTCGGACAAAAGCTCCAAAAAATATGGGGCGAGCGAGCGAAATTTTTTTGATTGTATTTATTTCTTGAAAATGAGTTTTTGTGAGGCGAGTGCTCTACAAGTGAAGCGAGCGGTATAATTTTTTTTTTAATTTTGCGATTCAGAATTTATGCACATGTTAAAACTGGGTTCCTTCATGGAAAAACAAGGAGAAACATGCTCTTATGCATATAATTTGATGTATTGTTGCCTGTACCATACCCGACTTTCTTGTCACACTGTGGTTCAGTTGATGATTTTCGTCAAATAAGCTTTGTCTGCGTGAATTTTCATTTAAATCCATACATGTATACTTAACAACAAAATTATTTTCATTTACCTGTGTATAATATGACGCAGGTTTCTTCAAAAGTGATGATTTTGTAAAAATTGTTTGAAATTTCACAGTGATATCATACTTTAAATTTGTTTAAACCTGTTTATTTACTTTTGACTTTAATAATTTATCCCTTGTAATTTTTTATTAACTGTGTATATGCATTCAGGTGTCACAGGTCAAATTTATTCATTCATTGTGTGTTAATTTACGTTTTTTGATTGAGTTAAGCCTTCCAATTGATATTTTATAGTGTGTTTTTCTATGTTGTGATGTTATACTATTGTTTCAGAAAAGGGAGAAGGTTTGGTACCATTAAAACGTTTAATCCCGCTGCAAATGTTTGCACCTGTCCTAAGTCAGGAATCTGATTACAGTAGTTGTCGTCTGTTTATGTAGTTCATACGTGTTTCTCGTTTTTATATAGATTAGACCGTTGTTTTTCCGTTTGAATGGTTTTACACTAGTAATGTTTTGGGGCCCTTTATAGCTTGCTGTTCTGTGTGAGCCAATGCTCCATGTTGAAGGCCGTACCTTGACCTATAATGGTTTACTTTTATAAATTGTAACTTGGATGGAGAGTTGTCTCATTGGCACTCATACCACATCTTCCTATATCTATGTGTATATATTAAGAAAGCATTGCAGATGCAGTAACAAGAGGAATTATGTAAGTAGGATAAATGACATATGTTGAATAAATCAAAATATGTGTATGTATCCCAAAAAATGCCCATGCACAATATTTTTTTTATGTTTTCATTATATAGTAATGATTGTTTATTGGCTGTTTGACATCCAGTTGGAACTATTTATCCATATTTAGGATCAACATAATGAGTGATGTGAATATTTCAACACCATTATGAGCATGATGAGTAAGATTGTTATATTGATATGCATGTAGATCTCAATGTATTAAAATACCTGTCACCACATTCACATGGATTATTCTGACTTAGCAAAATATACTCTTTACTTTTGCTCCTAAAAGCTGCAATGCATTTAAAACTTTAACTTGACTAGAAGTGGTTGATAACACATCACAAATTATTATGAGCATGCCAATCCCAATACCACCATGCTGGAACTCTTAAATTTATCCTTACAAAAGAGATCTGCTTGCATGCCAAAAGACTAACAAGGCCCTTAGGGAATATGTGGTTTCAATCATAAATAGATAATTCTGTGATATTTTTAAAAGTTCATGGGAATTTAATATTAATTTCATTAAAGATAGATATATGTCTATGTCTGTTGAAACGATAATCGGAGATGATGATGGTTCTAACAAATATAGTCCAGATTACTCTGCCTCAGCCCCAGCTTGTCTGGCAAAACAGCCGTTGGACGTCAGAGTAAAAATATTGATGTGATTGTGGTTATCTAACGAAAGATTTTCAAATTTTGCCTCCTAGAACTGGTCTTCAATAATAAAACAGATGCATTTCGGATAACTGCGAGTTCAATAACTACTTGTCCATGGCAATGAGCTGACACAACTACATGTTGGCATTCTGATTTTTGACCTTTTATTTACAAATCGATTTATCACACGTGCATTTGAATCGACAGGAGCAATATATGCACAAGAAAAAAGTCTATGTGAAAAAAAAATTTCAAGGAGAATCTAAATTTGGAGCGACATGCGGCCCAAAAATCTGCGGAAGCGGTAATTGTTTTTTTTATTGAAAAGTCAATTTCTCCAAAACAGGAGCGGGAAAATCCAAAGAACTATTAATCAAATTGGTGTGGCCTCATTTGTAAATTGTTAATCAAATAAGTTTTCAAGTTTTGAAAAACTTTTTAATTTCAGAAATTAATAGGCGATAGTTTACCAGTAGAAGAGTTAGGTTTTGGCTCCGTTGAAAGATTTTTGTTGTCATTGACGGACACATTGTTACAGTTTAAGTATAAAGGAGATGGTAAGTGAGATATTATCTGTATCTGCAAAAAAAAACAAAGACAAAAACATGTAACTTTAGGAGTTGGGGCTACATTGCATTTATCTTATCCGTCCATCTGTTCGTCAGACAATAATTCAGTCAGTTTTTTCTCAGGCACAGCGAAACATCTTGACAGCGGTGAGTTGAAATTTGTTTGCACTTTTCTGAACTGTCAGATGACTACTTCCTGTTTTCTGATACTACAAATTGCCAGTGGACAGTATGCTTAGCATGACAACCATGTGCAAATTATAATATACATTTGGTCTGGACAGTTGTAAATCATTGAAGACCAATTGCTGACTTCAAGATGGTTATTCTATTTTTATTTGAGTTATTTTCTTGCTTTCTCATTGATGTCTACTTCACATTGTATTTGTTCTTAATCATACTTATAATGATATTTGCATATATTACAAACAAGGAGGGATGATAAAAGCAAATCTCTAATTCTTTGCAGATCTATCCTTTCCCTGACCTGTTGATTATTTTTATTTAATCAACATGTGGTTTGTTTGATCTCAGTTTTTCATTGGTCAAAATTCAATTATGATGTCAAGTTTTCTTGCTTTCCTCTGAATTTTATTTGTGATCTCACGAAAATAGACGACCATGCGTGAAGACTTTACATAGAAAGAACACATCTTTTGCAGATCTGACATGGGAAAATAAGGATTAAGTTAGTTTGCATTTCTTCTAAAAATCATTGGAGAAACATATTCTACCACCAAATCTCTTGCAATATATTTCTCCACTGAAGAGTGCATGTAATTGCTTAAAAAATTAAATTCTTCAATCCTCTTAATACTGTTAGTTTCACTGATAAATTAATGAATAAAAGAAAAGTCAGTTGTGAAGTTACAATGACGTCATAAACATGTTGAAATTGATGTATGTGACCTTGAAATGTAATATTACTCGTAGTTTTTGGTAGAATCTGTTATGACCCAAGACCGTGTCCTAAAAGATGTTTTACCCAAATTGACATCTTCGGTTTAGACATCTTGTAGCAAAATATCTTTTTGGATAAAGCCTGGACTCATACCTAGTAACTATGACATCTCAAAATAGTGCAATATTGTCATGATTGTGGCAATATTGTAGTTTTCTATGAAATGAAAGAAGTTTGAAGCCTTAAAGCAAATATGAATCACAATTAAAAAGAATATATTTATGTGGTTATCTGACAGATAAATGTCCTGAGAACATCTGAAGCTATTTATTTTATATATTTATTATCCATTTTTATACGACTGCAAAAAAATTTGGGGGTCGTATATTGCTATCACTTCGTCGTCATTGTCTGAAGACATTTGGTTTCCAGACAATAACTTTAGTTTCAGTGTATGGATCTCTATGAAATTTAAAAAGGTTCAAAACCACAAAAGGAAGGTTGGGATTGTTTTTGGGGGCTGATGGTCCCAACCGTTTAGGAATAAGGGGCCAAAAAGGTGCCCTAAACAAGCATTTTTCTAGTTTCAGGACAATAACTTGTGTATAAGTATTTTGATTGCTCTGAAATTGTACCACAAGGTTCAATACCACAAGTAGAAGGTTGGGATTCATTTTGGGGGGAGGGGGGGCAACTTTTTTCCTCAAGATTTAAGAAATTGTCAATTTTCCAAAGAAAAATTGTGGGTCACAATTAATTATGCTAATTCTATGTATATAGTCTGAAAACAAATTTACTAAGTATTGCGCATCAGCACAGTGTATTGCACAAAATGCGCATCAGTACAGTGTATTGCACAAAAGCAAGAAATCTTCAGTTGAATATAAATTCAAATCATATAACCAATTTCAAGTTCTTTTACTACATTTATTCTATGTCAGAAACCTATAATGTGTCAAATATTTAATTACAATTCGAATTCAGACCTGTATCAAGCTTGAATATTGTGTCCATTTTTGCCCCAACTGTTCAGGGTTGGATCTCTGCGGTCGTATCCAGCTGCGCTCGGCGAAGCAGTTTATTATTTTTTGAAATTCAAGCAGCCAAAACATTTGCCTTGTAGTTCTTTCTCCTTTGTCTTTTGCATGGGCAAACAAATTAAATCATGCTCATGCATGTATCTCTCCCTACTTTTGAATGTTTCATTTTATATAAAAGTACATATATTCCACATTGGCTAGAGGTATAGGGGAGGGTTGAGATCTCACAAAACATGTTTAAACCTGGTGCATTTTTGCGCGGATCCCCAGTTTTAATTGAGGAGAACCTCTTGAGGAGCAAATCAATAATTTATTCAATATTTCAATGAATAGGAAAATAAGTCCCAGAATTCTGAAAAAAATAATAAATACATGGCATACAAAGAATAAGAACAAAATGTATTGACAGGAATCATTATGGTGTTACCATTGGATACCACTGCTCCACAAAGAACAGACAAGCTGAAATACCTACCAGAACCTGAGGTTTGTGGCTTGAAACTTGAAAGTGGTTGAGTAGGCAGAGATGTTCAGGCAAAAATGATAAAATCGTTTTGTAGTGAGAACTCAATGGACTGTATTATTTTACTACTTAAATATTTTTGTTGCCAATCCTTTAATTGAAATGTCTGGTCCATTTCATCTTCATCAAAATGGACCACATTTATGAAGATAATCAAAAATGTATTCAGAAATACTATCTTCAAATTTTTTTTTATTGGATTTTGGTTATATTTCTAATATTTCATAAATCATTGTTACATTTCAAATAGTTTAAAAAAATCAAACTGATTATCAAAATTTCAGATTTGTAACTGGAAGCATTAAATCCTAAATACTTTTGTAATGGATAGTTATGCTAGTAAGGCCCAAAGAAAAATGCTTTTTCTTGTCAGCTGGGTAGGTTGGATGTAAACATATTTTTTATGCCCCCACTGTAGCTGAGGGGGCATTAAGTTTTACCCTTGTCCGTCTGTACGTCTGTCCTTCCGTCCGTCCGTCCGTACGTACGTACGTCCCAAAGTTGATTTCCGTTCTCTAACTTTAGTTTGCCTCAACCAAATGTTATGAAACTTAAACACAATGCTTATTACCACAATCTACAGATCAAATTTGAATTTTGGTGCCATCACTTTTACTGTTCTAGAGTTATAAAATTGAGAATGGAAATGGGGAATGTGTCAAAGAGACAACAACCCGACCATAGAACAGACAACAGCAGAAGGTCACCAACAGGTCTTCAATGCAGCGAGAAATTCCCACACCCGGAGGCGTCCTTCAGCTGGCCCCTTTATGTCCTTTACAAATGAAAAAAATTAACTTTTTTTTTTTTTTTTTCTAAATGTCAAGTCATTTTTATACAATGCAATGTTTAATTTTGCCTTCCACTGATAAATTAAAGCAATTTTTTCCCTTCATTTCTAAAAATATTTTAAAGTCTTCTTTGAAAATTGGAGTTCTCTTTCTTTGTGCATAATGGTAGTGGAATCAACTACAACCAATGCTTTATACAATGCAATATTCAATTTTACTTCCTACTAATAAATTAAAGCAATCTTTACCATTCAGTGCTTACAAGCACTTTGATTACCGTTCTAGGGTTATGCCCCTTTACAAATGAAAAAAATTCTGAATTTTTCGTTTCCGTTCTCTAACTTGAGTTTGTCTTAACTAAATGTAATTTCTAAAAATATTAATGTCATTATTCAAGTAATTTTTTAAATTGGAGTTATCTTCCTTTGTCCATGATTATAGTTGAATCAACTACAATCAATGCTTTATACAATGCAATGTTTAATTTTGCCTTCTACTGATAAAACACAGATCAAGTTGAATTTGGGTTGTGTCACTTTAACCATTATTGAGTTATGCCCCTTTATAAATCGAAAGATTGCAAAATTTTTAGTTTCCATTCTGAAACTTAAGTTTGCCCCAACCAAACATTATGAAACCTATACACAATATTCATTACCTCAAAACTAAGATAATGTACAATTTTTTTGTTTCCGTTCTCTAACTTTAGTTTGCCTCAACCAAATGTTATGAAACTTATACACAATGCTTATTACTACATAATACAGATTAAGTACGAAATTTGGTGGCGTCACTTTTACAATTCTTGAGTTATGTCCCTTTATAACTATATGATATGCAAGCGGGAGCATCATCTGTGTCCACATGTGGACACAATCCACATGTATTTAAATATTTCTTTGGACTATTATAGTGAAGATTTTAAACAAAAATGTCTTGACTTTAATGGTGCTTAACCCAAATTGTCCATAAATATGTTAGGGTAGGCATGTTAATTTATGGTAGATATGGAAACAGGAAAAGTACTATAGCTTATTTTTGGCCTATGACAAGAACAAGTAAATTTGCAATAATAAAATATATGACAGCTCTTAATGAGTATAGGAATTTATTCTCCCATTTTTTTCCCATTTATTTTATGTTATGAAAATGATGCATGCATTTTATGTTTCCCATTCCAAAATAAGATTAGCACAAACTATTACTTTTTATTTGTTTCCCAATTGATATTAAAAGCAGGCAAATGATGTATGTTTAAAACTCAAATGAATAGAAGATGAAAATTGTGCATTTTATTGAAATTCATAGAATTTGAAAGGACAATTTAATTTTATTGCAATTTGTTTTGGTGTAGACACATGTTGGAAATGTTGTTATATGTTGAAAAAAACAATCTATTCTTTTGAATAACTGTAGATTCATTATTATTCCTTAGGTAATATAAATTTTCCTGGATTTTGTTGGTATAGGTGAACTAAGTATTCCTGTGTTCAACGAAATACAAAATCCCTATAGTAAGCAGAATTTGCCAAAACCATGAAATCCAGTTTCCATAAAAATACATATTCTCTCGAAAATAAATGAATCCATATTTATATGATATAAATTAAAAACAGATCCCAGAATATCTCCACAGTTTTGAAAAATGAAAATTATTTATTGGCTATTTTAAACAAATATTTGAAATAAAGTACTTTTTTTTGTTTTCTTTTTTGTATGAGACAAGTGAGAGTATTGCCTTTATTTAATGGGTTGCTATCGATAAAAGGGTAAAATCGATTAAGTATGGTGAATGATTTTCTGTAAAAAATGTTTCGGAATTTAAGACAATAATTTTATTTCAGGAAGTGGTAAAGAGTAACCTACCAGAAGATGCCATCTTACCTGGTGCCTGCTATAGACATTTGGAATTACCAAAATTAGGGGAATATTTTGAAGTCTTTGTCTCAAATATTGTATCTCCTGGTCTATTCTGGTTCCAAGTCAGATCTAAAAAGACTACAGTTGCATTAGAAAAAGTGATGAACCAGTTGGAGTAGGTGACATTAATGCATTGATTCTGAATTACATGGATTTATTAATATTTGTGGTGTACTTATATTTTGTTGGTATTGGTGAAGTTTGAATTTAAATGTTCACGAAAGACAAGTTTAATCTCGAAATCAAGAATTGAAAAAAGCCATTATACATCAATCCAGAAAAATTTGTTTCCACAATAATAAATGTATCCACAGTATGTATTTGATTAGCTTTAAAATTTAAACCAACCAAGTATTCATTATTTAACAGGATTCACCTGACCACTACCTCAGTCATGAAGGTTAAGTGTTTATGCTCAAGGCCATATCTCAGATACTATAAACAATAGGTTAAATATATTTGATCATGTTGATGTATGGAATGATTGTAAGGTGTAAATGTCCATCTGGCAGAGTTTATCTTACCTTGACCTCATTTTTATTGGATTATTGGTCAATGTTACGATTTTGTGGTTAGGTCCTTTTCTCAGAAACTTAAAGCAACTACATCTGGAATCTGAAATTGTATGGTATGATTTTAAGGTATACATGTCCAAATGACAGTGTTTATCTGTCCTTTGACCTCATTTTCATTGAAAATATTAAGTTAATGTGATACCTCTAGTAAAACCTTAAACTTTCAACATTAATTCAATCTGACGATGAATAGTAAAGCAGCCAAGACATTTCAGCTTGTGCACTATTGAACTATTTTTTAACAAGAATAGATAATGCAATGCACTACTTCAAAGCCACAGTGTTTTTAATGACAAATGTTCTTTGCTTTTACAGATATTGTTACAAAACAGCTGAAGGTAATACATACAAGATACCAGATGAATTATTAGTGGTAGGACTGGTTGTAGCTGCTGTATTCCCTGAGGATGATAACTACCACAGATGTATTGTTACCAAGCTGGAGATAGGACATCAAGCACAGGTACTTACAGCTGAACTATTTGAGTGTGTGTTATGTTCTGTAACTGTCTAACCTTATTGAGTCATTCAGCTGCTTTTGTGATATCAGCCTTATTTAACTAAGAATATAAAAATAAGAAGATGTGGTATGATTGCCAAAGAGACAAATCTCCATCAGGGACCAAATGATGTAGAAGTAAGCAACTGTAGGTCACCATATAGACCAACAATGAGTAAAACCATTACTGTATAGCAAGCTATAAAAGGCCCCATTATAAGAAGTTTACCTGAGGGATCAACTAACTACATTAGTAGTTATCAAGCTTAACTGGCTAATCAATTCAATTAATAACTGCCAGTTTACTTGTCAACTACAATAGAGGTTATCAAGAACTTTATATGACTCATTGTCTAGTCAATACTACGGTACTTGTAAAATAGCATACAGTTCATTTACCAAATAAGCAGCATCATTTGTAGTAGCTAAGCTATGTATCTAAATAAACATGCATATGTGATACTAAAACATATGATGTGTTTGAAATGAGTTTTTACTCACTTTTACTATTATAAAGTCAAACCTGCCTTAATGGTCACCTCGTTTCAGCAGTCACCTGCCTCGAACAGTAACTTTCAGACCATCCCAATCGTTTTCTCTATATAATTTAACTCATTTCAGCGGTCACCTCATTTTCAAACAAAATTGTCATTTCAACTTTTAACAATGGTCATTTTCATGTATTTAACTACCAAAAATCTTCATGACGAAAAATATATGTTGTCAATATCAAAGTCAAAATGAAAATCGAAACCGGTTTGCAAACGAGATCTTGCAATAGAAGGTGAATTTTGAATTTGCCTTGTTCCACTCTTTTCAGTTTCCATTGAAAACAATATCAGTGACTTATTTCCCCCGGAATATTAACACATTTTCAACATTTTCTTCAAATTTACTAGGCTGGGATCTGCCATTTTTAAGTCTCCCAAACAAAGTTTGGGAAGACTTATTGTTTTTGCTCAGTTCTTCTTCTTCTTCTTCTTCTTCTTCTTCTTCTTCTTCTTCCGCCGCTTTTAAATTTGAACTTGTCCGCACCCATTCTCCAAAACCGCTTGTCAGATTAACTTAGGGTTTCACAATATGTTAGACTAACATGTCTAGTGGTACAATCAGGGTTTTGTTTGTGCAATGGGGTTTATAAAGGGGTACTTTGAGGGGCAAAAAGAAAAGAGGGTTTTACTATAGAACCCTATGGGATTTTATTTTTAAAAATTTTCAAATGATTATAAATTGAAAACCGTTTGTGATAGACACAATCTTTTTAATTGAAAATGTTCTAAATGATAAAGCCCATTAAGTGAAATACAGGGTTAGTCCCCAGGGGTCACCCCCACCCCCTGCCATTTAAAAAAGTTCTAATACCTTGTAAGTGGTCAAGATCCCCACCCTTAAACCATATATATTTTGGTTTGTCATGCTAAGATGGTTTGATTGATATACAGGGTTAGTCCCCAGGGGTCATCCCAACCCCCTGCCATTTGAGAAAGTTCTAATATCTTGTAAGTGGTCAAGATCCCCACCCCTAAACCATATATATTCTGGTTTGTCATGATAAAGCACATCAAATGAAATACAGGGTTAGTCCCCAGGGGTCACCCCCACCCCCTACCATTTAAGAAGGTTCTAATATCTTGTAAGTGGTCAAGATCCCCACCCCTAAACCATATATATTCTGTTTTGTCATGATAAAGCACATCAAATGAAATACAGGGTTAGTCCCCAGGGGCCACCCCCACCCCCTGCCATTTAAGAAAGTTCTAATACCTTGTAAGTGGTCAAGATCCCCACTCCTAAACCATATATATTCTGGTTTGTCATGCTTAGATGGTTTGAATGATATACAGGGTTAGTCCCCAGGAGTCATCCCGACCCCCTGCCATTTGAGAAAGTTCTAAAGTCTTGTAAGTGGTCAAGATCCCCACCCCTAAACCATATATATTCTGGTTTGTCATGATAAAGCATATCAAATGAAATACAGTGTTAGTCCCCAGGGGCCACCCCCATCCCCTGTCATTTAAGAAGGTTCTAATATCTTGTAAGTGGTCAAGATCCCCACCCCTAAACCATATATATTCTGGTTTGTCATGATAAAGCACATCAAATGAAATACAGGGTTAACCCCAGGGGCCACCCCCACCCCCTGCCATTTAAGAAAGTTCTAATACCTTGTAAGTGGTCAAGATCCCCACTCCTAAACCATATATATTCTGGTTTGTCATGCTTAGATGGTTTGAATGATATACAGGGTTAGTCCCCAGGGGTCACCCCCACCCCCTGCCATTTAAGAAAGTTCTAATATCTTGTAAATGGTCGAGATCCCCACCCCTAAACCATATAATTCTGGTTTGTCATGCCAAGACGATTTGAATGATATACAGGGTTAGTCCCCAGGCATCACTAATGCATATAACTTTACTGAACTAAACCAATTTTCACTGGACTTTGCCCAATGTCAGGCGACCCTGGGAATTACGAATTATGGGAGCTTTGTTTGGGAGACTTCGTAACAGCATCCTGTTACAATCATTTCTTGTTTATTTCTCTGCTTGCAAGTACGACAATGCTACCGATTGAAAACACTAAAATGGTTTTACCCGATCACTGCCACTGGTGTTGGCAGAATTTTTTTGGAACCTCGTTTCAAAGGTCACGTTTGATACTTCCCAAGAGTGACTCCTTAATACAGGTTTGACTGTAGTTGTCTTTCTTTGACCAGAAAAAAAACTTATTTCACCTCATTACTTTTCTTGTTTTATCTAACTCAGTTTCCAACTTAATTTATACAGCTTTGTAAATTTTTAAAATAATCTATTCAACAAGCCAAAACTAATCATTCTATTCATATTGACCTGAAAAATGGCCCCAGCTTCCATTTTTGACAATAATATTGCCATATTGTGAAAGAGTACTTATTTCTATGTATGAAAAAGAGGTGTAGTTTATAATTATAGTATCTGAAGTAAAATTCAGTATATAATTAAAAACCAATTGTTCAGAGAACAATTGAAGGTCTTTCCACTGCAATTTTTAAATTTATTGAAAAGAAGCTAGTTCGTGTTTACTCAAAGTTAAAATTGGAATCTTATCATCAGTTTCTTCATACTGATGCGATAATTAAGTGGTTTCTATATACTTCTGAGTGAAATAAGGGAGATAATTAGCTACTTCCGGTGAAGTAAATGTCACTTCTGGTCTCATATAATAGTTTTTCACACTGATTCCAAAAATATATAGTTTCTATATACTTTTGCTTGTGAACCAGGAGATAATTGGCCACTTCCGGTTTATCGAAGGTCATTTCTAGTCAGTGATAAGTTAATGTATTAAAATTACAAAATATATGGATTCCAAGTACTTTTCCATGAAGAAAGTGCAAAAATGGCTACTTCCTGTTTTCTCAAGGTCACTTCCTGTTGTCATTTTTCAAGGTCATATGTCATCCAACCTTTTGTAAAAGGTCATATAGCTTTTTAATGAACGAAATTGAAGTAATAATCAATTAACCTTATAATTAGACATTTCAGGGGCACCAACTTCTATAAGATGCCATTAGATTGTTTCAGACCAAATGTAACATACCCTCTTTACAATAAAGCAAACATTTTGCATTTGTTATTTCATATATATCTTTAAAAGTGTTTGAGAAAATGCAAAAACAAGGAAAAGTCAAAATTGAGAACTTGACCTTGACCTTTGACCTTGACCTCATTTTCTAAGTTAGGACCTAGGGACCTCAAATAAAAAGATTCCAGGATTATATGGTAAACGGTTTATGAGTTAAAAAAACATACCGACAAATTTATTTGGTAAAGGTAGATTACTTGTTTAAAATTTCATCAATCGCTTCGATCCAAATAAGCAAAAAATTCCTGAGGATTTAACGAACAATTTAGAAAAAGAATTTTGTCGATATCTTTTTTTTGTTACTAAGGAGATGCACACACTTGATAAACAGTGAATAGGGAGATAACTCTTACAAAGAAAATTGTTCGGCTTAGAAGGGGTGAAAATAAAAAGCACATAAACTGTATGATACTATATAAGAAATATCTTAGTGACATATTGCGAAACAAAAATTTTACGCGATAACAAAATTTGGCAGAAGAAAAAAATAATAATCAGAACAAATACAAAAGGTCTTTCCACAGAAAAGTGGAAAGACCTAATAATCTTTTGAATGTAATTGAATATAAGGCATGAGTAACATGTGAAAAGAACAAAGGTTGACCTTTTTATGTTGTTTTAAAAAGAAGAGAGGCAAAAGATACCAATGAGAAAAATTAAATTCTTAAGTCGAAAACAAACTGATGATGTCATGGCAAAAACGACCAAAAGATTAACAACAGTATACAAAAAACAACATAGAAAACTAAAGACTGAGCAACAGGACCCCACCGAAAATTATGGGGTGATATCAGGTGCTCTGTAAGGGTAAGTAGATCCTGATGTACTCATGCAGATTTGTTAAAACTGTGCATTTTAGAGAAGATTTCATATATAGTTGTTCGAATATATCTGAACTGTAATGAATAGCTTATCATCTTTAATGCTTGACAGATCCAGTAAATAATAATTTGCTGGCTACTACTTATATTTTGTCTAGCTTGTGTGTCTTTTGCAGGTGTATTTTGTAGATTATGGAAACACATGTAGTGTCCACAGAAGCAAATTACGCTTACTTAGGTAAATATTTTAACTTATAAAAAAAAGAGACTGTCTTCGAACTAATCTTTCTGTCCTTTTTGTCTGAATATGTGGTGTATTTAATCCATGTGAATCGGTTGTTTCATCTTGTAATTTATAATGTGAATCCTTGGTTTTACTTTTAATTTTGATATGTGAATCCTTTGTTTCAACTCGTAATTTGAAATGTGAATCCTTTGTTTCACTGTAATATGAAATGTGAATCCTTTGTTTCACCTTGTAATTTAAAATTTTAGGTCCAAATTTCTAAAACTGCCAATTCAGGCAATTCAAGGAAGACTTGGGAATATACAACCAAATGGACCAGAGGGCCAGGTATATAATTTACTGATTAATCAATGTCAGAGCGAAATTTGTGAATTAAATTAAATGGACATGAGATGTCATGTGCATTTGTAAAGAGAGCAAATAAGAAGTTAACTTTTTGATATAAATAGTTTATCTACCATTTCAATCTATTAAGACGAGGATAAACCAAAAAAACATTTGTCTGTAATACATGTAATAGTTGTTATTATAGATTTGATGACTTCTAACATATTATATTTTATAACCTTTTTGTCGATCCTGCGACTTTTGTCGCAAAAGCAAGACATAGCCATCCTACATCAGTCAGCGTCCACAAATATTCACTCTGTGGTTAAAGTTTTTGAAATTTTAATAACTTTCTTAAACTATCCTGCATTTCAACCAAACTTGGACAGAAGTTTGTTTATGATCATAAGATAGTATCCAGAAGAAAATTTTGTAAAAAATAAATCCTGTTTATCTGTATATTACTCATAAATGGACTTAGTTTTTCTGCCAGTTAACATAACATTCACTCTTTGGTTAAAGTTTTTCAAATTTTAATTACTCTCTTGAACTATCCTAGATTTGTACCACACTTGGATAGAAGCTTGTTTGTGATCATAAGATAGTATTCAAAAGTAAATTTTGTTAAAAAAAAAATCCTGTTTATCCGTATTTTACTTATAAATGGACTTAGTTTTTCTGCCAGTTAACATTACATTCACTCTGTGGTTAAAGCTTTCAAAATTTTAATAACTTTCTTAAACTATCCTGGATTTGTACCAAACTTGGACAGAAGCTTGTGTATGATCAAACGCTAGTATCTAGAAGAAAATTTTGTAATTTATTTCCTGTTTTTCCTAATATTACTTATAAATGGACTTAGTTTTATTCCAGTTAACATTACGTACAGTCTGCTGTTAAATATTTTAAAACATTTATTAGATTCATAAACCTTCTTGGATTTTTACCAAACTTGAACAGAACTTCTTACAATCAAAAGATAGTATCTAGAGGAAAATTTTTAATAATTTTTTCCCCATTTTTGTTGAGCCTGCGACTAACAGCAAAAGTAGGCGAGACACTGGGTTCCGGGGAAACCTTACGAATTTTTATGCCCCACCTAGGGGCATAATGCTTTTAGGTCTGTGCGTCTGTTCGTCCCTTCGTCCGTCTGTCCCGCTTCAGGTTAAATTTTTTGGTCAAGGTAGTTTTTGATGAAGTTGAAGTCCAATCAACTTGAAACTTAGTACACATAAAATTGAGAATGGAAATGGGGAATGTATAGAGACAAAAAGACAACAACCCGACCAAAGAGCAGAGAAAATCATGCAACCGGAGGCAGGCTTCAGCTGGCCCCTCAACAAAAATGTGTACTAGTTCAATGAAAATGGACGTCATGTTCCCGATGATATGATCTTTCTAATTTTAATGCCAAATTAGAGTTTTGACCCCAATTTCACGGTCCACTGAATATAGAAAATGATAGTGCCCTATTCAGGTTAAAGTTTTGGTCAAGGTAGCTTTTGATGAAGTTGAAGTCCAATCAACTTGAAACTTAGTACACATGTCAGACTACACGATTGAATTCTATTTTTACAGGACTTTCGGTCTGTTAAACAACCTAGCTTTACCAGACAGAATGAATTTTACCAGACCAATTTTTTTTTACATCTAATTGTATATTATCCGACAAAATACAACAAACTTATGACTTGTTGTGCCCTACTCCTCTCCAAAATGTACAAAAACAAATTCATGTGACAAGAGTGTATATTTTGATGAAAGTTGTGCAGAATTGCTTGAATGCATTTCAGGAATATTACCATCATAATAACTCCAATTATTTAACATATGATTTTAACTTGGGACAAGGCACATCAAAGACAAATTGGTGATTTAACTAAGTTTATTTAGATATATTGTTTAAGAGTCTCTTGTGAAAGAGAAAAGGACAGCCATGGCCGATTTTCTTGCCATTTTTTATTCAATTTCCGTTATGGTCTGTGTGTCTCATATATGCTTTTTTCTTTCCTTTCATCGTCTGTTATTTTCTTTTTTGCAGCTTTACCAGTAATGGCTCCTTCCGTATATTTTAATAATCCAATCATGTTATCCTTTCATATATAAATTTGAAAATATAATGGAAGTAGTATTCTAACGGAAATACGATAATAAAAAAACCAAAACAGGGCAATAAACAACACCGGACATTTGGACAGAAATTGAAGACAAAATTTTACCAGACCGATCCATTATTCACCGGAACATAGGGGTAAAATACAGTTTTTGGCTTATATCCCTGAAACCAAAGCATTTAGAGCAAATCTGACATGGGGTAAAATTGTTTATCGTGTAGTCTGCATGTTCCCTATGATATGATCTTTCTTATTTAAATGCCAAATTAGAGTTTTTGACACCAATTTCACTCCACTGACCATAGAAAATGATAGTGCAAGAGGGGCATCCGTATACTATGGACATATTGTTGTTTTGCTTTTATATATCACTTTAAATTAAAAACAGCAACTGTAATTTGCAGTGTTAAATTCTTGTTTCAAGAAAAGAATTAATTTGATTACATGAGTAGTCAAAAAGTGACACCCAAATAGGTTGATATTTTGTATAGTAGTAAAATTTCATCTTTTAGTTTGAGAGATACACCATATTGTGTGTGTGATTTTGATTTCATGTATTCTTTTTTTGTGGTTCTTCAAATTTTGAGTATCCCTGCTTATATTTTAAAAGTCGAGTACTGAATACAAAGACAAAAAAATAAAAAGAATTTGAAAGTTATCTGGCTACTAATAATATTAGAATCAAGTAGCCCTGGATAAAATTAAGGTTCTAAGGTTTACTGGGCTAGAAAGTGGGACACATTTTCAGGTTGCCATATCTTCACTTCCTGTTTGGCATATACATGTATGTCCTTCACACATATGCACCTTTTAGAAATTAACTTTTTGCTGCATTTTTCTCTGTAACAACAAATCATAGTTTCTTGATATTTGATACCAAATTTACTATTGGTAAGTTTAACTATTGTGTTTATCTTCTATCTATCTATACTTATGTTCAATTATATTATTTGATAATGACATTTCTCTTTTAGAAATGGACAATGAATGCTAGAAACAAACTTCTTTACATGTGTATAAATAAACCACTGGTAGCCTTAGCAACAAAAGAAAAGGTAAACACAAATTTAACCAAAGAGATTTTATTATACCCTTGCTATGACTAGCAGGATGTATATAGCTTTTGGCCCGCCAGTCAGTCAATATAAAAATTAGAAGATGTGGTATGATTGCCAATGAGACAACTCTCTATCAGAGTTCAAATGATTTGGATGTTAGCAATTATAGATCACAGCACAGCCTTCAACAATGAGCAAAACCCATACTGCATAGCAGGGCTTCCAAAACGGTCGTATTTTCTCGAACATGACCGATAATTTATAAATATGACTTCTTGTGCCAAACCTGAAAGGTACATTTAACGTGGGTTTGCCATTTTAACATAATTCAGAAAAATTTGGAAGTTTTTGCGATCTTTTTGACCTGACCTTTAGCCTTAAACAGCCACATTTTTGGTCATAAAAGTGACATGGTGAATAAGTACTATCAAAACAAACCCTACTTTAATACTCTCTCATTACAATCAAGGTTAATTAGTTGTCAGACAGTTGAGATTTACCTGTTCAGGTGACAGGTAAACTAATATGTACCGGACATTGAAAGGTCTATTTGAAGTTATTTTCATAAATTTCAGCAGTTTGCATCTAATTAATTTAATTAAAAAGATTAAAATTATCAAAAATATGCATATAAATATGATTTGATGAAAAATTTTAAAAGGTAGTTATAAAGGTTTTAAGCGAAAAAAATCATCAGGACCATGTTGTTTGAACAAAGTACACGCATGCACATGTGTGCAGTTGTGAGATTTAATTATGCATCCGAATTCTTCATAAATGCTAAAATTATCATTGATACCTTTATCTAACATTCATTTCAAGTATTTTCTTGAGAAATAACGTTGGAAAGAGTTACTTAAACTCGATTGTGCTTTGTAAACGTACACGGATTTTTCGTATCCGTCTCTGGTCCGTGTTTTACCATTGTCAAGTCACCATCCGTCTCTGGTCTGTGTTTTACCATTGTCAAGTCAACATCCGGTATAAGAAAATGTACCTTCAAAAATGAAAGTAAAGATTTTGACATCGTAATTTTGCACAAATAAAGATTTTAAGGCAGAATTTAGTACGCTAATGTTGCACACTTCAAATGATGCACTGTCAATTTAACAGTTTACGTCAGTACATCGAATTTGTATCAAAAGTCAAGTTTAATATCGTTTTTATGTCAATCATTCATTGTTTATATGATGCCCAACTGATTAGCATGACTGCCTTTTGTTACGTAGTCTTAAGGGATCAAAATCGGGATAAGACAAAAAATGTCCGGCTGGCACAAATATTTTTTGGTATCCCTGTCGCATAGTAAGCTTTATAAGGCCCGAAATGACAATTGTAAAACAAAACCGGAAGAACAAACAAAAAACAAACATGATATTCATCAACAAACGACAACCACTGAATTACAGGCTCCTGATATGGGACAGGCCCACAACATTTTTGTGGACGTCCAACCCCCCCCCCCTTTTACCTGGGTCAGAGTTGTAACAGCACAATATAAGAACAAACTATAAAAATCAGTTGACTCATCAGATCGTTACAAAGCAAAAAACTTTTTATATTATTGCCAAATTATAGAGGGCATCGGTGGCAGAGTGGTCTAATTTGTTAATCTACGGCAATCACTAGCCTGTCAACACTGAGGTTGTGAATTTCTAACCTATGATAGTGGCATGTGTGTTCGACTCCGATCTTAATTGACTAGATTTGCCAGATTTCCTGACAAAGGTTGGTGGTTCTCTCTGAGCACTCTCTGCTTCCTCCACCATGCTATAGCCAAGAGTGCTGAAAATGGCATTAAACACCAATGATCAATCAATCAATCAACTAAATAACAGATTTGACCCTTATTTCATAGTTCACTTAACATGGAAATGTGATGGTGCATAAGTGGGGCAAGACTTCCGAAGGACGTATTCTTATTACATATTTTTGTATTTAGGATAGAGTGATGTCCCTTGTTTTGGTAGACACTTCAGGAGAAGAGGATGTTTGTTACAATGACAAGCTTGTTCAAGAAGGATATGCTATTTTTAGACCAGACGATCATACCACTAATTTGACAGGTCCTACAGATGCACCAGAGGTAAGGGTGAAGTGAATGTTTTGACCTAGTTTTGGAGAGAAAAAAAATATTGTTGGAAAACCCACACTGAAAATATGACATATACTGTAAATTCAGAAATTATTGCGTGCATTTATTATTGTGATTTTGTCATTTTAGACTAAAATGCGATTTAAATTTTTGCGATATCGAGAAAAATCCTGTTTAATTCATATAAAAAATTTCAAAATGCGAGTTTAAATTATTGCGATTACAACCCTGTCGCATTTTTCGCAATAATGAAAATATCGCAATAATTTCTGAATTTACAGTACTTTGATAGTAGCCGGTATAGCACTGCAATGCAAGATTATTTTCAAGTATTTATGTGACTAAAATTTCCATGTATTTTGAGTTATTTCCCCTGCGTATCGGATGTATTCACAGGCAATTTAATATTTTATGCATCTGTAGGTTGCATTATTGCTGCAGTTATATAATTATCAACACAACGTATATTTGTATTAAATTTTAATGATAAATCTATAAACTAAAACAGTTCAAAATATCACCACTAATACCTATAACAGCTTGGTTTGACTTGGTGAAATGGTCAATAGATCAGTCCTTACAGTCCAATACAGAAATTGTGTTGCATTGTTGGAAAATCAAAATAACAAACATTCCTGATATGTATCAAATACGTATTTGTTGATTCCTAGTTTTCTTGAATGGAATTTAATATTTTTTTTTTTTTTTTTTTTATACAAAAAAAAACAGTAATTTTTTTTTTTATAATTTTGAATATTAATTCTAATTATTAAGGATTTATAAATCTTTTTACTTGAAAACATGCTTCATTAAAAAAAAAGTAAAGAAAATGTGGCATTGGAGGAAAATAGGGGTGTTCAATTTGCATTAATGCCACAAAATTATTCTATATGAAAAAAAATGTTAAGTTCATTGACTGCTTTTATAGTTTATATTCATTACATTAAGTTGTCTTAAATTAACATTTTTAATACGGAAGAACTTATTTCCTCTGAATACACCATATTATTTCACTATTTGAAGGAAAAAAATAGTAAGACCATTCTGTTGACTGATAGTTTTACTGTAATTGACCATTTCTAAATATCACAGATAAGTAAATGCAATAAGGCATACTAACAATAACAAATAACATAAGAAGCTGACAACAAATACAGTGAAACCTGTATAAAACCAACCCCATTAGGAGTAAAGCGTTAGTGTATATTAGACAGGTGATTCCATAACACAGGAGGTTACAATAGTTAAACACAGTAACAATAGACAACTGTCTTAATTATGTCCAGCTCTAAATTTTGGATTGGTTTCTTGCTCACACAGGAGTTGTTTTAGACAGGTTTTTATACGTTTTGCAGTCGTATATTGGTATGACGTTGGCGTCGTCGCCCAAAGACACATTGGTTTTCGCACAATAACTTTAGTTTAAGTGAATGGATCTCTATGAAATTTTACCATAAGGTTCAATACCACAAAAGGAATGTTGGGATTGATTTTGGGGGTTATGGTACCAACAGTTAAGGAATAAGGGGCTAAAAATAAGCATTTTTGTAACTTCCAGACAATAACTTGTGTGGTAGTGTATGGATCTCTCTGACATTGTACTACAAGGTTCCATATCACAAAGGGAATGCTGGGATTGATTTTGGGGGTAATTGCCTCAAAATTTTAGAAATTAGGGGCCAAAAAAGGCCAAAAACAAGCATTTTTCTAGTTTCATGACAATAACTTGTTTGTAAGTGTATGGATATTTCTTAAATTGTACTGCAAGGTTCCATACCACAAAGGGAAAGCTGGGATTGAGTTTGGGGGTGATGAATCATAAGGGGGTTCAAAAAATTGGGGGGGGGGGGGGGGGGGGATTTTTTTTTTCTTTAAAATTTTCCATTTTAAGTTGGTTATTTTTTATTTATATATAAAAGCAAATAATAATGATATGGTTTGATTTCATCAAAAATTGAAATATTGGGGTTCTTTGATATGCTGAATCTAACCGTGTATTTAGATTCTTAATTTTTGGTCCTGTTTTCAAATTGGTCTACATTAAGGTCCAAAGGGTCCAAAATTAAACTTAGTTTGATTTTAACAAAAATTGAATTCTTGGGGTTCGTTGATATGCTGAATCTAACCGTGTATGTATTTAGATTTTGGATATTGGACCATAATAGGTAAATTAAAAAATTTTAAATTCTTAGGCCACATTCATTCTGTCAGAAACCTATGCTGTGTCAAATATTTAATCACAATCCAAATTCAGAGCTGTATCAAGCTTGAATGTTGTGTCCATACTTGCCCCAACTGTTCAGGGTTCGACCTCTGCGGTCGTATCAAGCTGCGCCCAGCGAAGCATTTTATTTTTGTTGTCTCGCCTTGACGGAATCAAAAAGCGAGACATAGGTATGCTGTTTCCAGCGACGACAGCGGCGGCATCAACAATGTATTAGTTTGTGATTAGGTCTGGTTTATGGTGAACCACAAGTGGTAGGTCAATGATATTTGGTATGCAGTTGTATTTGCATTGGCACATCTCTTTTGCATGGAGATATTTCGGCTGTGCCCCCTCAGTCATTGACTGTGAAACTTTTGCTTAGTTTACATGTATTAGTTTGTGATTAGGTCAGTTTATGGGGAACCACTAGTTTACACAGGAGTTGTATTAGACAGGTTTCTTGTTCACACAGGGGTTGATTTAGACAGGTTTAGTGTTCACACAGGGTTTGATTTAGACAGGTTTCACTGTTTATCAATTTCATCCACTTAAAAATGTTAAGAAAATAATAAAAGTGACAACAACTACATTATAAAAATATCTAAGTAGGTAACATACATGTATAAAGGTATGAAAATGACATATAAAAATAACAAATGTCTTAAAGCACGAGAACAATATATCTTTAAATGTTGAAATGAACAGTAATAGTTCTGTATTTATTTAATTTTGAACAGCTACTAATAGACTTAGGTTTTGTCAGTTTGAATATAGAACCAGTTGTATATGAATTGGAACTAGACTATATCATTCAGGTTTTTTACTGTAAATTTTATATAGTTTTAGTTGTGAAAGTGCAAACATCTTTTTTCTATTGTTCTTGTTTAAAAGTATTCTTTATGTTGATAACAAAAAGATAATTCTTCTTCCATTTCATTTTCACAAAACACTGCAAACATGGAAGACAACATGGATTATTTCACATGAAAACAGGGAATGGAATTGTACATCATACCATAATATGGTTTCAGTATTATTTACCAGGTTTAGCTGATTTATTGTTGATGGAGAAAACCTTAGTACCCAAAGAGAATCAACGACCTTCAAGTGATATTGAAGGACATGATAAAAGCTTAATGTCAGATTGATGAACTAAATAGGGTCAAGTCAATATTCTGAATTATTTTACATGTAACCAGATCAGTTTGATGTAATTAAGACAATTTTTATCAAAAATTTGATTTCCGAAACTCGTTACAGCGGTGATTAACCATGGATTTTTTTCTGTCCGAAGCTATAAGTTGATATATTAATTGCAATCAAAACAATGATTGAAAATCATTTTTGACTGAGATCATAACATTCAAGGTGAAAATTGACAGTTATAGTTTTGTTGTTTATAGATTATTGGGAATTCAGATTAGTATGTCTGGTACGCCATTAAATATTTGTAGCTTTTGAAAAGCATTAGATTTCAAAACATGTTTAGTTTAATGGCAATTGAACCCTTATTTATTATCAAACTGCAACCTGTTTTATAATAGAGTGTGTGTTTTTTTAGTTTAGGTTTTAAACAGTTTGTAGATTTTTTCTCATTCTACACTGAAAATATTTGATAGTCTATCCTAATGATGAATTGAAGAACCGTCTCTGTTTATCCAGATATATTTTTACATTCAAACTTTCAGTTGTGTGAACCTATTTTTACCAGATTTGGGTGAAGCTATGTGGTTAAGATTGAACCAAACTGTACCAGATTTGGGTATATCTATGTGGTTAAGATTGAACTAAATTTTACCAGATTTGGGTATAGCTATGTGGTTGAGATTGAACCAAATTTTACCAGATTTGGGTATAGCTATGTGGTTAAGATTGAACCAAATTTTACAAGATTTGAATTAAGCTATGTGGTTCAGATTGAACCAAATTTTACAAGATTTGAATTAAGCTATTTTGCTTAGACTGCTAACTGCCTTCCGATTAATTAATATCTAATGACAAGTTTGACAAACAAGAACCAATACCAAGTGTAGAGAGTTTTAAGGATGACAAAGCTATTTATCCAAGGTTATGCATTAAACTGTCATGTCAATTTCTTTGGTTAATACTTTAAGAAAGATATGTAACAAGTAAAGACACTTTTGCATATATCATTTATGGTAAGATTCAAAGAATATACTTTGCTTCATTATTTCTAGTAGGTCCTTTATAAGATTTCAATTTAGATATCTTTATCACATTTATCTTGTAAAATGATACATAATTTTTTTTTTTGCTGTGTTTAATGTTTGAAAATGAACTATCATCACTAGAACTATAACTACCAGGAATATTTTCTAGTATTGTGTTTTGTCCTGAAATATGTGTCCATAAAATTCAGATTTCAGTACTATGCTCTCCCTGGCTTCAATGCAAGCATCGTAAATCTACTCATTTTTAAATTTTAAAAAAATTGATTGAGGTATGAAGGTAATAATCAGTTAGGTATCTTCATCAATAATTTATACTACATCAATTACAATCAAGTATTTTTTTCACTGAAACAAACTTAATTAGAATATTTCATATAGTAGTAGTTTTATTTTCGATTGATTTTCACTGAGATGAATGCTTTAGATAAATTAAGTCCCTTATGAATTATCACCTATTGATGATGTTAATTACAAAATAGATAGAAGGTTTATTTTATCTTTGAGTTTTAAAACATCCCGGAGATTCTTCTGTTTATTTTGATGTTCTAATCATGAAACACGACATTAAGGTGATGTCTTTGAACTCAATTTAAAAAAAATCCAATATAAGGCCACACCAATTGGTTTTTCATTTTTTGAAATAACTGACATCAGTTCAGAATAGGTCTTTAGTTGTCTATTTTCTTTTCTAATTTGATTTGGTTTTATAATCAAATAAAGATTTTTTTCTAGGTGAAAATTATCATTTTTTAAATAACTATTAATGATCTTATTATTTTAAAAAGAAGAAGGAATTCTGCATTATATTTAGGACCCTCACATTCCAAAAAGTTTGAAATCAACTTTGTACGGCCTAAGTTCAAAACAGTGTTGTCAGTAAGGAGAAATTAAGCTGATAAAACAGCCGAGAGCTTAATACTTTCATTTGACTTTTTAAAATTCTTTTGAAAATAATGACATTGTAGATTGTAAAGTTTCCTGACATGGGATTTCTCCATTGTGTCATTTTATGAAACAAGGAACTATTAATGGAAATGGATCTTTTATGGGATTAAATCACACGACTTGACAATAATTTAGCCATTGTAAAAGTGTGATGACCTTAAAAGATATAGCATAGTAAAACAGACCATCTTTAATAGAAATTTATTGTGTAATTTTTAAAGTATATTCCATTATATCAACAGGTGATTTAAATAGATAAATCAAGCAGAAAATTGTGATCAAGTTTACTTGGAGTGTTTTCCTTAAGTTTGACCTATATTATTATTATGCATATATGTCGCGTAAAGTTTCCGTTCCATGTGACATGACGAGATATGGCAAGATAATAGTATTTTCAGATTATACTTTCTTTCTTTTTTAGAGTTTACATATATTTGTTTTCTGAGAGAAATATTTGATACAATATTACCTATTTGCAAAAGTGCTATTTTAATTTTTGTGTAGTTGATTGTTTAATCCAAAATACTCATTATTTGATCTTAGATTTGTATTTCAAAAACTTGTTGTTTTATGATCTTGGAATTGCAGAACAAACACTAGTGGAATGAAATAAGAATGGCATAGCAGTATGATCTGGGTTTTTTTTGTGTGTGTAAGTATGTCCAAAGAATAAGAATCCAAGGTTAAAGGACAATAAAACATTTTGCAAATAGATGTTTTCTTTCACTAACTTAACCATCTAAATATCAATTTCAATTTTATGAGTACACTCAGAGATAATGAAAAAATTGAAGAGTACTATAAAAATCATTGTAAACATGTTTTCCTGTTTTTCTAATATCGTTTTTTTTGTGAACATGTGCCTACGGGAAATCATTGTAAGCAGATGTCGTTATCACCAAATATCATTTTCTTGAGTATATCAGATTAATTTAACCATGTAACCATGGTAATAGTGTACGGTAAATTAAATGTGAACAACTATAACTTACGTAAGAATAAAATAACAATATACAAAATGTACTAGTATTCACAATATGAGAAAGACTGGAAATGGCACTGTTGAATAACGAGTAAGATACATTAACTGGGTCAGAGATAGTCGTAATATTTCATGGTACCTTCTGGCATCACAATCACAAGGAGTTTATCTGGTAATGTTCCAACAAATCTAGGAATGTCATCCAAAAGAAATGATTTCTTTAACTGGCCTTTGCTGCTCAGGATGTCTATTCGACCCTCTCTTTTGTCGGTCACAATAATATTTCCGTATTTGTCAATACTTATTAAATCTGGACCCTGATAAATTTCTTCCTCTGTGTCACTGTTTCCGTATTCAAAAATTAATTCTCCCTTGAGATTAAATGCTATGACAGTATTGCTTCCTGGATCAGTCACAACCAGGAGATTGTTCTTGTTGTCAACAGCAACGCACTGCGGTTTCTCTAATAAGTAGAGTCCAAATTCGTGAAAGTCATCATTTGTTATTCTTTTTGTGAGAAGACCATCCTTACTATAAAAGGCAATGTTTCCTCCTGACTTAGCGGACTTTCCATGATGGCTTCGCAATTTAGCATAACGATTTGAAGTGACTATGATACTGCCTTTATTGTCTGCAGTTACAAAATTTAGACCAAAACTCTCAATATTGCTGTCTGAAAGAATGTGACCAGTTCCATCATTTTCTAACACTCGCACCTTGAATCTGTTGTCTCCCCTTGGAATTGTCATGGCAACCTTTCCATCACTGGAGATAGAGTGAATGTTCCAACCATTGTTTACTGGTACTGTTCCCTTGACAATTCCTCTTTTCTCAAGGACATAGATCATTTGGGAACCAGTTGAGGTTGTTCCAATGATCATGTCTCCTTTGCTATTAATTCCAATCCCTTTTATACACTCTCTTTGAATTACTGCTGGAAGTTCTGTTTCTTTTTTGGGTTCTCCTAATTCAAAGCAGTTTTCAGCCTCGTACTCTGTCTTTTCAATTTCTTCACTAAATTTAACATTTCGAAAACTCTCACTGTTGTTACTTGCACTGAGCATGTCTGAGTCTGAACCACTGTTATACTGGCTTTCTTGAGCTTGGTTGAATATTTCTTCTAGTTCCGGTTCAGTATTTTCAGCAGTATCACTTCCATGGCTATTATGGCCATTTTCCAAATTCAGATGATAAATATTTGCATTAGAATCCTTATGATGTTCCGTTGTATCAGTTCCCTTTTCAGACAATTCTCCAAATAAATTGCAGATTGTTTCCACAGTAACATTTGGTTTTGTTAATTTAATTGTCATTGTTTCAACTTCATCTGTGCCTAGTGTTTCTTCACACAGCTCACGAATTCGATAACCAACTTTCTTGCGTAGGAAGACCTTTTCTTCATAAGAACCATAACTCAGTAAATTCTCTGTGAATTCTTTCACCCCATTAATAGACTTCAAATGCATCTGGATGTCATATCGCCTATTTGCTAATTCATCCTTTTTCTGGGTATTTCGTTTGTTAACTTCTTCGATGAGCATATTTTCATACTCTGTGATTAAGTCTGACAAAAACTTCGTTCGTTTTTTCACAACTTTGTGCAGTTCTTTTGTTTGGTTTTGAATGACCTCTTCACTTTCGTCAAGTCTGTGTAATGCATCGTTCAATTCTTTCTCATCATCGTTTAATTCTTCCAAAGGATCTTTGATCTTGCTTTCAAAATGTCCAGCAACAGTTGTCAGTTCTGCACAGCGATGGTTGCCATGGTTATTCACATGGCAGTCAGCACAAATGAGCAAGTCACAGTCAATACAAAACACAGCACCAATATCCATAGCATCATAAAGTTCACAGCACTTTGGAATCACATGACTATTTTTAGCGAATCCTTCCTCCTGCTTACTTTCCACACGAGCATCGTACTCATCAATTGAAATCAGACTGTGGTTATCTGTTTCCTCAGATGTTTTATGGGATTCAGAACATGCTGAACACAGAGCATTTTGACACACATCACAGAAAGTTACCGCGTCTACAAAGTTTCCAGCATTTTTACAAAACCAGCAAAGTGTCTGAGGTTTTAGATTGGTTGAACTAGACACTTTTGAAAGCCTCCTGGCAAGAATATTCTCAGGTAAAGGTGCAGCATCTTGTTCGTTCTGGATTTCAGTAGCGCACACTGGACAAGGGAAGTAATTATCTTCATCGATATTTTTGTCAATATGTCCAGATATGCATGGATTACAGAAAGTATGAAGACATGGAAGGAATTTGGGTTGTTTGAATTCCTCTTCACAAATAGGACAACAAAGGTACTGTTGTGGAATGACCAGTTCCGTCTGCTCCAACTCCATTCCGTCTGGAATATAATGATATGGAAATAAATATGAATTGTTATTGTACTGCAGGGTTTGAACTGTTGATATTTTTTAATTCTAACTTAACAGGACCTTATGTATCTAAAATCATAAACCAACACAAGAAATTATTTGTCCGCTTCTTAGTGATTAATATTTCATTTTTGAAAATTCACTTGCATTTAGAACAAGTATGACAATGATAGAGTACTTTGACAAATAAATAGTTTATCCAAAGACATAACACGCTGATTGTCATTCATCAGTATGGAAGAAGTCATCTGTTATATGTACACAATTTCAATGTGCAGAGTTATTTAATGGTTTAGCAAATATCTATGATTTAAATGCACTTTATTTTCACTTTACTTATGTAAATGAGTGGATTTTATTGAAGTACAATTAGAAATGATATAAATAAGAACCTTTTGATTCTAGCAGCTATATAATGTTTGTCCTCCTTGTCAAGATTTTATTTTTTAGATTACAACATGTTCTCTTTGACACAAGCCATAATGGAGGGCTAATTTTAGTTTAGGGATGTTACTAGGGACCCTATGGAAATAAAAAAAGTTCCGACCTTTTCATCATTGATGACTGAAACATATATTTTGCTTTAGCTATGATCTGATTTTTGTTTCCTTTTAATAAAAATACTATTTAGCTAAGTGCACACAACTACTGCTTGTTAAAGTTATCAGAATCCTTCCCTGCACACATCATCATCAAAATTTGCCCATCAGACAACACAAGTCTGTGTCCACACTTGCTATGTATAGTTATAATAAAAAGATACTCATAATCTTCCTTATAAATGATATAAGTCCATCTGATACTTATCCTTTGTAACATAAATAAACACCATGGTGGTTTTGTGCTACTGTTAGATGTCATATTGATTAAAAAAGCTGTTTAGTGGTAAGGCTACTGTGATGTCATATAAACAGGGCATGATATATAATAGGTGTCATTTGGTATTTTGATTTAATTAAATTATATTAATAGTATTACCATGGGTATTAAGTGTATGACTGTCAAGTGATTGAAATCTAATGTTTAATTAAAAGAATTGTGTTTATTTAGGTAAAGAAATATGTTATGATGGCCACAATCGAAGTTCAATAAGTTCTGCACTTGCTCACATTGTATGCTTGGTGGCTGTGTGTTAGCACACTACAACCAAGCATAAAAGTGAGCGGGTGCAGTAGAATTAGATTGTAAAAGCATATGAGAAACTTGATGCAGCAAGGAATATTAAAATTTAATGGCAAAGAGAGGACTTCTTTTGATGTCATTTGGGTTTGTTGTTATGCCCCTAAGTGGGGCATAATGTTTTTCGGTCTGTGCGTCCGTTTCGTTCGTCCGTCCGTCAGTCTGTCCCTCTTCAGGTTAAAGTTTTTGGTCAAGGTAGTTTTTGATGAAGTTGAAGTCCAATCAACTTGAAACTTAGTACACATGTTCCCTATGATATGATCTGTCTAATTTTAATGCCAAATTAGATTTTTGACCCTAATTTCACTGTCCACTGAACATAGAAAATGATAGTGCGAGTGGGGCATCCGTGTATTATGGACACATTCTTGTTTTCTGTGTATGTGACTATGTCATTGATTTGCTGTCATTGTTGTCATTGCTGTTTAATTCATATATTCTCTTTTTTTAATGTTTATAAATGATACTTTAAGACAGGTTCTCTTATGTTTTTATTCCAAGTTTTCTTTAATGTTTAAATCCCTCAGATATTTGATACAGGTAATAAACATCTACTTCAAACATTGATGCATATTTAAAAGAATTGAAAGGACAGTTTAGTGCAATGCATTTTTACTTGTGAAAAGTTTTTTGAAATTTAATATTCATTTTGAGGTTCCATATAGAAAAAAGACTTAAAATTAGAAAAACAATAAGGTCTTTCCTCATGTAGGTGAAACCTTAGATAATATGATATATTGAAACACACAAAAGGTAGATTTTTAACAATGATATTTGTAAATGTTTAATAGATTTTCATTCTCCTCTAATGTTTATTTTGGGAAGGAAATATATTATTTTGTCTTCTTTTAAAGGTGGTCATTGGCATTTTAAGATGATACTTTATTGATTGAGCTTACTCAAACAAGATAAAATATTTCTGTCAGTCAATTAATCTATATATCTAATTCTGGTCCATTTAAATTTTTGTTTGCCCTGCTATAACTAAATGAATGGTAGTTAATTCACACTGACCTAGCAAACTATTCCTTATTATTGACGGAATAAAAAGGGTTTAACCTTTCTTAATATCTGGAGAATATTACAAATGCGGTTCTTTACATCTTGATAAAATATTATCATAGTTTTCCATAAAAGGTGATCGTGGGATTAAAACTTGATTGAATCAGAGTAAATTATTTTCACTTTCCTGTGTAAATGAGAGATTTATCTTGTTAACTGAATTCAACAGTATATAGAGTACCAAGTAAAATGAACAGTTTTGATTCATATGTTAATATATTACGATAATATTTCGGTTTCATTTAAAAAAAATGTTATTTATAAACTGGCAACAAAGAATGTATTGTATATGTATGGAAAAAAGCCAAAACTGTTTTTCATTTGAACATTTAGTAGTTTTAATTACGTTTCCGTCACCTTTTTTTTTCAGCCATTGCAAGAGTTTTAATTTTTGATTAGTAATAAAATAAGGTATAAGTCTTAATGAAGTTTTGATTAATTTAGGATCAACAACAGCCAGATAAATTTTACACTCAAATGTAAGGTATAATAAAAAGGAAGGGGGGGGGGGAGGGGGTCAGATTCCAGACAATATACATTAGAAAAGCAAATTAAAAGTATAATGCAACATGGCTCTTATACAGATTAGTGAGGAAATGAATAAGAAAAGAGATTTTCTAAACCAATCTATGGGCAATATGAACCTCTAGCCAAAGTCTACAGTAAAGTTAGGTACTTTGGAAGGCATAGTCTGATTTTAAAGAAATTTGGAGGGAGTTCAGACACATCAAAATATTTAACTGATTGATTTTATATTAAAAGGTTGTTCACTTTTGATTGGTAACAAGGAAAAAATGTCTCACAGGAATTTTTAAACAAGCAAATGGAAAATTATCAATTAAATATTTTGAATTATATATTTGAAAGTAAATAATAACAGAATAGACTTGAATTGCAAGTCATGTAGAAACATGATACCTGTCCGAACCTTGATTTTAATTTAAAGCATGTTTTAATAAAAGCAATTATAGGTTAATTTATATATGGTGATGTTTGGGTGTTAAAACTCTTTTTAAACTACTTATATATAAAATTTTGTGGTAAATATTTTTAATTATTTTATGAGACATTTCATGCATTTAGTTCTTGTGATTTGAATCAAATTGGTCCTTTACAACTTAAAGGAATATATGAGAAATATTAAAAGTAAAATTCTTTGAAGCAGAATTTGAATAGCAAATATCGAAATTGAAAAAGCACTTAAAAGATTTAAATGGGGGTTAAAGATAGCAATTAAAGGGTAAAATTGCAGAATAAGCACAAAAAGGTGTAGGCTATTGTAAAAGTTCAGTGACCAAAATATAAATAATTTTTCTTGACTAAACTGCATTTAACATCTTATCCTAAAGAGAATGTGAATTTTATTGAAACTTCCTTTATTGTCAATTAGTTAGAATAACAAAGAATGTATTGAATATGTATGGAAAAAACGCCAAATCTGTTATTCATTTGAACATTTAGTAGGTTTTAATTAGGTTTCTACCACTTTTGTTACAATCATTGCAAAAGTTAGAAAAAGATATAAGTTTTAATGAAGTTTTGATTAATTTATGAGCAACAAAAGCCAGGTATGATATAAAGGAGAATATGGAATATTTGCATTAATTTCATTATGCATTGTGTAGATCAAATTTATGCAATTTGTCAAAGTAATTGTTAGTTGAGACTTAGATGAGAAATTAAGTAAAATCCTATTATATTGATGCTAATGTCTGGCTAAAATTTTAGTACCAGGTACTTTGAAAAGATTATGCAATTGGTCAAAGTCACTGAGATTCAAATAAAAACTTGGAGCAGATTTGAACCCTTGAACTTGGAAAATGCATTCAGTTTACAGTAATGAAGTATAAAAAAATGATTATTTGTTTTCCTCACTGCAAAATATGTTCGAATATTAAAAAAATAAATGAAATAAAATTAAGTTGAATATTAAATATAATAAGTTTGTTGGCTGAAAATGAATTATAGTCTTACCTTTGAGGTACATAGAATAGTTAAACCTAAAAATCTCTTTGCAGTGGAAAACAAACTTATCAACCTGTACTCCTACAGTGAAAGTAAAATTTAAATTTTGTGTACCTAGTGTTTATTTTGTCATTTAAATCTCCATGTTTTATGTTTGAATGTAAAGATTTGGCATACTGTCAACGAGCCTTTATTGATAGGACCGTTACCCGTTAATAACTAAACATTGGATTATTATCGGTTACTAATTGTAATAGGGGGATAATAACAGTACAGGTATTGTCAGTCAAGAGAAGGGATTATTAGCTGCCTTTTATAGTAGGTGTCTCGATTGTTAGCACCCATTTATTTATAAATAGAGATAATTGGGATGATTATGTTTGCATGTACGTGTTCCTATGGGGTATTTTAACCTGGTAATGACGCTATTTGCCATTTATAAAAGTAGATCATTTCAGCTTCCTGCTGGTGTGCTGTCAAGTGATTTGCGATAATGGTATTTGACTCCAGGGATAAAATTTAAAGTATTATAATGGTTAGCAGCAACCAGATTTAATGGGCTTCTGTCATGCCATAGGAAGAAGTCACTTGATCTGAATTAATCAATAAAATATCCCCTAAAAAGTCAGTTTGGTTGCAATTTCAGCCTTTAGTAATGTTTTTATCATCCTGTATATGCATGAAATATTTTCCACTGGACCTTTGAAAAAAATCAATCAATCAATCCTATTTATTTTTAATTTAGTAGCTTGTTAAGTTTGAGGCTATTGACTTTTACTCAATGCAACTTAAAAAGTGCTGTTGTGTCTATCAATGTTGGTTCCAGGGTTGTTTGAAATCAATTAGAAACAGAATAATAGCAGTAGTTTTGACAATTTATACCTAGCTGTCAGAATCAGCTGACTGTAACTTCAATATTTTTAATCAATAATTTTTTATTGCCAATTTGTGTTCTTTTTTTATACAGAAATGTTTTACTGATTGTTGCTGTTGTTAGACTTTAGGATTGCCCAATGAGTAACACAGGCTGAACATCATTAAATACTTTCCAGTTGTAGCCATTATATGTCAGCTAATATGTAGGCCTAAGTTTACATAATTGATCAACAATATCAAGATGCATTTTTGAAATTGTTCATACACTATTTCTGGTACATGAGTGGGTTTTTTACATACGAGTTATCAATGAAAACTATGGTATATAATAAATGAAAAAAAGATTTTTAATTTAAAATTCCAACTTAAAGTTTGAGATAAGGACTGAATTTTGGTTGGCCAGTGTTTTATTACATCAAATAAAATGAATTATGTATGGCCACAAAGATTTTATAATATGTGTTCAGCTTTGGCATTTATAAAACAAAAATGTTTGATTATTCCATTTTTAATTAAGCATTATACAAATACACCTAAGGGATATTAAATAATATGATATATAACAAATGAAAAAAAGTTTTTTAATTCAAAATTCCAATGAAATGTTTAATATAAGGACTGAATTTTGGTTATTTCATTTTTAATTAAGCATTATTCAAATACACCTAAGGGATAAATATTACACAATATAGCTTTGGCATTTAATTATAAAACAAAAATGTTTGATTATTTCATTTTTAATTAAGCCTTATACAAACACACTTAAGAGATATTACACAATTATTACAGAATATGTAGGGTTTATTGATAATAGTGTTTAATCTGGTTGATACTATTTTAGTAGGGCTTAAGGTTCATTGACCATATGAAAAAATAATTTTATTACTGATTATATTTAAACTTGGTAATGTGATTAAATCAGTTAACTGGTATTAAAATGGGTGTTGTTTGACCTTAGAATGCACAGTATTTGTGTTTTAAGAGATAAATTTTGGCTATTTTTTAAGTTTGAATATTTCTAAATGTTGCAAAAGGCTTATTCATGAGAGAGGCGTGATTTTCTTAAACAGTTGTTGTTCTTATTTGCTTTTTGTTCAAATTCCCCAGGAAGTATGGGAATATATGGTTTAACACAGTCGTTGTAATATAGGATTGGAACTTGATTGCAAGTTTTCATAAGCAGTTGATGAGAATGTTTTCTCTGTCATGAATTGTAATCTGAATTGATTAAAGGAGTAGGCCCGGTAAGACCCTTTTTGGCCCAAAAATGTAGCATTTTTACAAATTTGTTGAAATGCAAACTTTTAGCTATATATTGGAAAGTAGCATACTTCTGTTCTATAAATATGGGCTGTTTTTTACAATACAATACACATGCATCAGGTACTAGCATCATAAATTCATGCAAAGTTACTAAAATCTTCATAATTTTAGCATTTCTGCTAATTTTATGATGGTTTTTGTCTAAAATGGAAGTGACCGCATTTGTTTTCAGTCTTTGTATTTAAATATATGTTGTATTTGATGATAATACATAGCATATATAAAGGTTGAGACTGAACACTAATGTGGCCATTTACATTTTAGACAAAAACCATCTGAAAAGTGACGTTTTATGGCAATTATTTGGTAGATTTTTCATTTTAAAGCTTGAATTTGAGCATCTTTAATGACCAAATCAGTTAAAGTCTTCTACATAAACTAATTGAATCGACTGAAATAGACGTTTAAGCGTTTAAAAAATGTCAAAAATCTTTTATTTGATGTACTTTGAATTTTAGGCCAATACTAGCCCTTACCGTACCTTCTCCTTTCAATAGTTGCTATATTTGCTTAATGCAGACTGATACAGGCAGATATTTGAAGAACAGCAATGTAATCTCCAGCTTCTACTTTTCTCAAAGTGTTATAATTGAAATACTTAATGCATTACATAATAAAATCTACATTAACACATATAAAATTTGAAAATAATTTACATTTCCCTTTTCATTATTCAGATATTCCAAGCAATATCCAAGGACTTGAGTAAATGCAAATAAAGAAGATGGCAAAGAGAAGTGAAATATCACTCATACTAATCACTTAAAACATGCGTGCAGCATTTGATAATATCAAATTTGCCCTTTTCAATTTAATGAAAAAGATTATCTAAAAATATCAGATCAGCAAATTTCATAGTATTATTCTCTTGTTGACATTTCAAATGAACTATTTTCTAACAGAAATCCCTGCTAATGGCATTAAATCTGTATAAACTGAAATATACAATTAATATAAAACTCTGCTAGATTTGAAGATTGATCTTGTGATTTTCTTCATGTAGAAAGCACAATTAGACAAGAGTTTAAGCAAACAGAACTCCAACCACTGCAAGACAATACAAATATTGAATAATTCAACCATTTATCATTTAAACATTTACAAGACTATACTCTTAGCAGACTTAATTAAAACCATAGTGTAGAAATAAAGGTCTTAATGTAATTAATTGATACAAATGAAGTCTGAAAAACAACGTTTTCAATTCGACAGTTTTCAGTCCTGAACAATCTAATTACATTTTTCTGTTTAGTCTTTTTCTTAAAATAAACATCCTGGAAAATGTTTGAAATGTTTTTTTAAGATTCAGTGCATGGGTTTTAAATAATGTTAATCACAACATTATCAAAGATTTCTTGTGCTATACAATAATGCATTTAGGAAAACCAAAAGTTTTATTTTAAACCATATTGTCAAAATCCAATTAGAACCAGTACACACATACTTTTGTAGAGATATTGAAATATAGACCTGGTATGCACTTGACCTATAAAATTAAAATGGAAAGTTTTGAAATAATTGAGCTCAATTTTATCTCCCACATGGAAATAATTAGACAATTTAGTAGTCTACAAGTGGCCTCTAATGGAAACTAAACCATGTATATCACTTCTTTCAATGGAAATAGCTTTGATAATTCATATTTTCATTATCATTGTGTTTAAAGGACTTCAGAAATGTTCTACATTTTCATTAAGCACCAGTGGAATATACATTTCCACATCCGTTTAATACGGAAAAGGTCTTATGAAAAGGGGAGGGTAAGGGTGTATAAAATTCAGAGGAGAATAGCAGGGAATTTTACTTCATAATACAAAATTGTCTTATTCAAAACTGATATGGCCAATCATGCTGATATTGGTGTTTAAACAATAACAATTAATCAATCAATCATGTCATTATATACCACATCAAAGACCCATTTCACAGAAATCTTATGAGAAAAAATAATCATGAACATTTCAGTATAACTTATGATCAATTTTAGTGGTAAGATTTTTTTTTGAAAAGAGCCCAATGTCCCTTAAAAAAAATATTGACCTACAATATTGGCTGATAATTCTGTTTGTTTGGCATTTGTAACGTTCAATGAAATGCATTGCCTTAATGAAAGAACTTAAAACACTTAACAATAGTATAAAATTCAGATCCCCCATGCTCAATAGGGGAACTGACATACTTATCAACTGGTGCTATTTGATGCTTGAATCTATAGTCCACTAAACAACATGTCAAAAATATTTATGAACTACTCTAACATTTCATTAATATTGATATGCTATCAGCAAAAGAAAATTAGTTAATCAGGAAAGTGCCAATTTTGTCAATATTACATGTAATATAAGTGTTACAAACGATTTGTATGTTCATGAGGTAATTACATTTGTCATACATGTGATCCAAACAATTTGTATTAGTTTTAATGGGAAATTAGGAATTGATATCTCTGCTTGAAATATTGAGTTATTTATTAATGTATTGCATACATATTTCATATGCACAGAAACAATTTTCCATCAACTTATTTATTTTATGAATATTTAATAATCTTTAATGTATTGAATTTATATTTGTTACAATCTCCACCAAATTTAACTGTGAGTAGAGACTTTATAGACTGAATAGCAAAACAAAAATTATACTGTACAGATGCCTCCCCCTTAGTTATTGTATGAATGTTTTTCAAGTGTACAGACATCTCCCACTTATTATGATATTTATGTTGACAAATTGTACAGACCCCTTTCCGCTCTATGATCTCACACATGGGTAGCTAAAACAAGTTTTTTCTTGAATAAAAAAAGTTGAGAGGGTATAGATACCGCTTTGCCATGTTTGACCGTAACAAATGTTTTTATAAAATTTAAATGCTTTGAACAACATTCTTAACTTTATTTAACATTAATCCTGTTGACCATTTGACCATAAAGTACATATCAAATTTGATTTTATAGGTGCTATCATTCAACATGAAATGAGATAATTGACAAACCTTGTACAATTGTATCTATAAAGCCAGTGAAAGGGTTCAAAAATGTAAAAGTCAAAGATCAGGGCCGTCTAATGTTATTCATCTTAAGTTATGTCCCTTGACATACGATAAGACACAAACATTATGTTCAATAACATCAATAAATAAGGTCTAATATCTATAGGTCAAATATCAAGGCCCATCAAATGTTAATATGTAAGGATTTTCCTTACTGTTACATTGGTAAAGTGATGCTGGATTCAAATAGATTGCTTCTAGTAGGCTCTTTAAGAGAAGGTTGGTGGGATTCTTCCAATATTTTTTTCAACAAAACTCCCAATGGAGCATTTATTTTAGGTATTTTTTTATATAATCATGCCTAATTTTAATCAAACTAGTAGACCATTCATGTCTGAAATATCTATGGCCTTCATTTCTGAGCTGACAGGAATCATCCACAACCATGTTCAAATCAACCATTAAAATCAAAGCTGATATGCAGCAGTCCAAACAATAATAAGAAAAACAAGAGGATACCAAAGGATGTATAAACATCAATCAAAGAAGGAAGGACAACATTTTGACTTATTGAAAAGAATAAAAGGCAAAACGAGGCAAAACACAAAAAAATTTAGCAGCATGAACACAATTAAAAACTGAGGGTAAAACTAGTAATTCAAAAAGGTAAACAGTTTCTTCTGTAGTACTTGTTTCTCATGAAATGAAATTATTGATATTTCATGAACGAGGAAAGACAACAACAAATGGTTATTATCATCAGTCATCTGGGATTCCAATGTTCTTTGATGGTCCACAAGTATTGATGGTTGTCCTAAAACTTTCAAAGACACAACTTCAACTTAATCATTAGGAATTTTTAGGTCAGTAGTTTCCTTGTAAGCAAAAACCCATTATCATGGAAAATCTGCTTGGAAACGTAAGCTCTGATATACCCTGTCAACTGAGATAGTATATGTTAAGTCAGGACTTTGCATAAATGTTTTGGTGACTTTTTGGTAAAGGGTTGAGGAACTGTAAAAATTAAAGAAATAAAGTTTGTAACTTTTGACTAAAAGAAAAAGAACTACTTCCAAAGGATAAATTTAGTTTGATTTTTTTCAAAAACATGTGATATTTTGAAACATTAAAGATAATCATCTAATATATTTGCAGAATAACTTTGAGCATGATATGTTATACTCTTTCAGGAGTAATACTTTTTAATAATGATGATTTTATTTACATTATTTATATAAAGTCCTTATTTATCTTGCACATTTAGTATTCTCGTTTTTGAGTGCATAAATGTCACCATCCTATTTCTGGTGCAATGCAAATTGGAACAAACTGGTTTAAAAAATTAAAAGGGAAACAAGAAGTTCACTATTTCAATTAAGATTCAATGCACAAAAAAATGTTTAAATATTTACCTGTTAGTGTTGAGTATCACTTCATATCTCATCAGAATTTAATTAAAAACAAGTCGTTCTTCACCTGTCCCAGGTAAAGTGTTTACCTTGATTCAGCCAGGTGAGAAGGCTGTGGCAAAAATATTTCAACTGAAAACAAGTGATTACTGCCAAGTTATTGCCTTAATCGTAATCTTAAAGCGTTAATCATCACCTATAGATAAAATAATTTTATACCTGAAGTTCCACAGGTCGCCATGCGTTCAGAAATCGTGGAAGTTTTCTAAATGAAGACGTTCTGTCAGGAGCGTACTGCTATACAGATTAAAAACTGGTTTCCAATATTTAAATTTACATAGATTTATTGGCAGGAAGGCTGAATTTAATGTATTGATCTTTACAATTAACCTACTACAATGTGAAATAACTTTTGTCAATGGTCAGTAGACTGTACTATTAATTCATTTCAATATTAGATGGATAAATAGATGCACTTCTTTCTAAAGAGATGTTTTCAAGCATGAATTTAAAAGACATATTTTAGGCCTCAAATTTGAACCAAGTGGGTGAAGTTAGAAAATTGTGTTATTGAGATTGTTCATACCAACTGTGGGGCTAATTGTGAACTGAAGGAATAAAATATATTTAAATTTCACCATGAATGAAACGTTATTTTATCTTTTGTCCTTTGTATGGATGAAAATGACTATGGTCATGATGACTGTCAAACTAACAAGCATGTTATGACTAAATAACCCTTTACCACCTTATAGAAACAATTAAGAATGAAGTATCTGTTAGGAATTTGCATGTTAATGTCCCTGCAACAAAAAGTCGGGGGTATATTGATTTATCCAGTCCGTCTATCTGTCCACGTTTATGATATTTTGTTTGTCTGTAACTTCTCTTGCAGTTTAAATGGAAGAACAATTTAATTTTGTAGAACATTTTTACATTTACTGAAGATGTGCATCTGGACAGGATTTTGATTTTTTTTGAAATTATCACAAGACTACTGGATGTTGAACCTAGTCAATTTTGGGATATTTCTCTTGTAGGGGACAGGGTTTTGTCTGTGAAATGCCTCTTAAAATTTACAAGTTAGAACCTTTACATTTAGACAGTTATACCTGTACTGAAGGTATGAATATTGAAATGTCTGGAATTCAGAACTATTCAAAGTTGATTTAGAAAATAAAATTCAAACATAGAATAATCATGTGATTTGAAAAGGGTAATCATTGACATTTCTTTGTTGTCTGCACACTTGAAGTGAAACATAAAATATCAAAAATTAAGAGTTATTAGAATAGTGCTCAGCCCTTGCCTTTTTCTAAGGAAAAATTATTTTCAGTAAGAAATATTGCGAAAAAAAAATAAGAAAAATTACAAAAACAAAATCTTCTTTCAGGTTATATGATAAGAAATTGTGGGGTGAATGTCAATAGACACAAAGAATTAAAAAAAAATAACTACAAGATATCTAGAGGTTAACATATGGTCACTGATATGTCTTTGATTATAAATAATTCAGTTCTATGATAGTAACACCATTAGAGGAAGGTCAAAGCTAAATAAAATGTAGCTTTTTGATTTCTTGATTAAAAAAAAATTATATTAAAATAGAATTGAAATGTTGTCTTTTATTGTATCCTTGACTTTAAAGACATCTTAAAGCCAGTTGAAAAATATGTGAAAAGGAGTGATGTTAAAAAAGATCTTGAATATTGATCTCATGTTTTGAGTATCTTTTCTAAGCGTGAACACAAATTTACATATTAAAAAAAGATGAAAGATGAAAAAAATGGTAATCATGTTAAATTAGAACAAGTACAATAAGTCTTATCATAGAAGAGGACAAAAGATGTAATTTAACCAAGGTTATAGTATTGTATAAGTCTCATGACATTGGAAAGATAATTACTAAGTATATGTAAGAGACATTAATCCAAGGCTTTTAGACTATTTGCTATTACGAGTAACAAACAAAGTTGTTTGTAATGCTGAGATGACAGTTTATTATTTATTTAGAAAATGGTGGAGGTTCTAGACAATGCAGAGTATTAAATCTTAATTAGATTAAAATCTTATTAATCCCATGTTGAATTAAGTCTTTTCCAAGGCTGATGAAGACTTTTAAACTGTGGTAACCAGATACAAATAAAAATAAATCGTATTCTTTGTTTTTATCTTCATAATTGTTGAAATGGCAAAATATTATTTTTTTTATCTATCCTTGTTTGTGCAATAGTACTTTGTAAATTATTCAAAAGACTAATCTTCAAGCTCTCCTTAAACAAATCGCCTATAGCATTAATTCACCTTAGACGATTTTTGAACTTATGTAAATGTTTATTATTTCACTAATCAGTTCAATCACACAATGACGTCACTTGTATTTGATATTCTTAACCTTCATTCAAACTTTTTTGGCAGTTGATATATTTAGTAGTTGTTAAGTGGTCTGTTTAGCGACAAGTCAAAATATTTTGTTCCCAATAGCAGAAATTGTTTTCTAAGTAAGGCAAAAGACAAGTAGTTTTATTAGTTGTTTTTTTTTTTTTTTTTTTTTTTTTTGAAAGGGGGGACCTTGGTGGTTGAGTGGTTTAAGAAGTTCAACTACTGTATCACTAGCCTGTCAACACAGGTTGTGGATCTGTCTTACTTTTATGTTACAAATCAGTTCAAGTTAAGCGGTTTATTAACATATATAACTAAACTTCAAATTAATTTGTGTAATTCTTTTAAATGTTTTTATATCTCAGGATTACTGTTGTATTTGAAGTAAATGTGTTTTTATTAGGTTTGTGTTCTCAGTCTTTAGTTTTCTATGATGTGTTTTATGTACTGTTGTTTGTCTTTTGATAGTTTTTCATTTTTGCCAAATTGATAAAATTGAGAATGGAAATGGGGAATGTGTCAAAGAGACAACAACCCGACCATAGAGCAGACAACAGCCGAAAGCCACCATTTTATTTTTCAACTACAATGTAATAAATTTGAATCTCCCTTTGGTATCTTTTGCCTCCCTTTTACAGTCTGTTCATTTCTACTTTCACATGTCCCATGAAGAAATTATATAAAATATTTGTGGTACCGGAACTATTTTTCATTGCAGATACCAGATTACAGTTATGTGTATGGTATCACAGACCACCAGTCAAGTTATCCTGATACAAGCTCAGTCACCGCACTATCTTCACACGATACAGATGTCTCTGAAATCAAACAAAGATTTGTCAAGGAGTAAGTTGTACATAGAAGTTGGAATTGGTTTAAAAAAATGGACAAGGACATTTTATGATGTACAAAACCAACATAATTTTCACCTGACAATCTTCTTTTTGTCAAATTTTATTCCATTTTGAGGCTTACAAAAATCTAAAAATTTAACGCCAGAAGCAGATCTATGACTTTTAGACAAGAAGAACATTTCACAGAATTTTCTTTTTAACACAAAGTGAATTTTTAGCATGAGAAAAAGTTTTCCCTTAAAGTTTAGGCCTGTTATCAATTCCTGCATTAAGAGATATTTTTAATATTACACTGAACAGAGTTTAATACAAATACAAAAAAATGTGTAAATTAGGTTGTGTTACAAAATTGTGGCATTTCCATTGCCTTTTTATTAGTTCAATGATGATTTTCAAATGTCACGTTTCCCCTTTGGCAACAGCGATTTGTGATTTCTTCCAAAAAAAATCTTATGTAATTTGATTCCATTCTGAAGCATACACAAAGCTTGAAAACATCTGATGTTAACAGTAGTCTGGGTTCCTAACACATGTTAACATGTGTGGGTTTATAACACAAGATTCTCAATGCTTCTAACAACTTATAGTTGAAGTGAAGTTTGCAAAATGGAAAATATTCACTAGGACAAAGATAATTTTCACCATAAGAGAATAGGTTTGAAAATGTGAGCGAATTGAATATTGTTTGATATCACCTCCTGTTATTTAATCTAATTAAGAACAATAAACTTGCCTTAGCCTTGTTTATTAACAAGAGTTGATTTCAAGCAATGTATCAATCCTTATTTGTTATGAAACATACAAATATCAACTTGTAAGAATTGGATATCGCTAGATATCAACTTTCTTTATTTATTTTTCAATATAATAATATACTCGCCAATGAGCTATTTGTTTATTATTATATTTGATTTAAATAGCTGGAGATGATATCAAGTGATGTCCAATTCTCACTCGTTATGGAACCTATATAACTAGGACAGAGCGCAAAAGACAATGGTATAACAAATATGAGGGAAGGTCATTTAGATAGGGTCGCAGAGAACTATTTAGAATGAGTATCTGACAAAATTGTGAAAAGGAGGTATGATAAGAGCCAGTAATTGCCCCTGAAAATTCAAAATTAGTCAGTTTATTCAAGTCTTTCAAAATTATGCTAATTTTATTGATAAATGAACCACTTGATATTTGGATTACAGTATTTAGTGGTCACATCAACTGGAAACTAATGTGAAGTGAACTGTTTGATACATATGCCAATTAAAGTTTTTGACACTAATTTCAAAATTCACTAAACATGAAAATATGATGGGTTAAAAAGTTAAAGTTGAAGGTAGATTCTGCTCACATCAACTTGAAACTTAGTACACATGTTCATTATAAAGGGAACCATTAAATATATATGGCTTATAAGGGTTTGACCCTGATATCACAGTTGACTGAACATGGAAATATAATAGGTTAATTTTTTGTTTAAGGTGGTTTGTGGTAACATTGACTTGAAACTTCAACCTTAGTACACATGTTCATTATGAAGAGAGCTATGTAATATATGCCAAAGGGGCCATAAGGGGGTTGACCCTGATTTTTACAGCTCACTGAACATCGAAATTTGATAGGCTAAAGTTTTGGTTTTCACCTTTTGAGAAGTCAAAATGATGATTTTTGTACTAAAATAGGTGACCACAGAAACAAATTAAAAAATTAAAGAAAAAAATATTTTGGCGGGATTCAAACTTACCGTTAGATGGAGGTGAATGTTGAATGTAAATTTGCAAGAAAATAATTTGTGCATTTGATTTCCTGTAAGGATAAAGAATTGTAAAAATTATTATATTTTAGAAAACAGCTGACACCAGAGTATAAGATTCATGTGATAAACTTGGATGGGGTTGCACGTGTGTTATCGGAAGAAATCTCTGCTTTTCTCTTTGACACAGATGTTCTTACAGGCATGGTAAGCTAACTAATCAGGGATTCTGGTGAATCTATCGCACAAATACAGCAAGGATTCAAGTCACCTGGGACATTGGTGTTGTGTTACAACACAAAATCAGATCAAATAGCTTATTTTTCTATTCTTTTAGTATTTTAAGATAACAGTGAGAATTTCTCTCTGAATGTTGTCTGATATGTTGGCTGATTCATTTAAAAGATATCATATTTACATGTTTTACTTACGTTTGCCCAAAATTTGTATATGGTTCATGTGGAATGCTTTAATCAGTAAATACTGTCAAGTGTGTATTTAGTACTCGGACCATCTGCAATGAAAGAAGTAAGGTAATCATTCAGTTTGATAACCAATAAATACATCTACTATTACTTTTGAAAATATAGCTCCGTGTGTTAAATCTGTTTAAGAATCCTGTATATTTTATATCTAAAGTTTACGGAGGAAATTACTGCTATTTCATTAATTTCAACCTTCTCACCTTTTTTATGCCCCCGCCGTAGCGTAGGGGGCATTAAGTTTTACCCTGGTCCGTCCGTAACATCCCAAAGTTGGTTTTCGTTCTCTAACTTTAGTTTGCCTCAACAAAATGTTATGAAACTTATACACAATGCATGTTACCCCAAAATACAGATCAGGTTTGAGTTTTGGTGGCATCACTTTAGCCGTTCTAGAGTTATGCCCCTTTACAAATGGAAAAATTACTGAATTTTTCGTTTCCATTCTCTAACTTTAATTTGCCTCAACTAAATGTTATGAAACTTATACACAATGCTTGTTACCCCAAAATACAGATCAGGTTTGAATTTTGGTGGTGTCACTTTAACCGTTCTAAGAGTTATGCCTCTTTACAAATGGAAAAATTGCTGAATTTTTTCGTTTCCGTTCTCTTAACTTAAATTATACTCAACCAAATGTTATGAAACTTATACACAATACTTATTACTACGAAACTCAGATCAAGATCAAATTTGGGTAGCATCACTTTTACCGTTCTTCAGTTATGGTCCTTTATAACTTTATATATGCAAGCAGGGGCATCATCTGTGTCACATTCCTCATTTATTTTAATTTTGGATTACTGTGCCAAGAATTGTCTATCTTGTTTATTTGCAGCTCGAACAGAAGCGGAAGAAGATCAGTAAAATAGAGATATCTATAGAAGAACAACCTCAAGTCTTCATGGAACTTCAAGAGTATGAATTGATTTTGATGACTACTTTTATAATATTGAACTTTGCTGTAGAAAAAAAATATAAATAAAAAGATATGTGGGGGATATGTTAATGAGACAGTAACCCAACTTAATCTGAAAAGACAAACATTTACATTGCTATTTGTTTTTAGTTCATTTAGAAAACACCCAAATTAGATTTTCACATCACATCACCTGTCTGTCACTTGTATATGAATGCGGAATTTTTTATAAACTACTTGGGCAACAGAGACCAAACTTAACAGCAATGTTCTGTTGAACAGTAATTACTTATGTCCCATTAGCTAGGATATCAAAACTGATCCCCAAAGTTTAATTGACTACATCTTGAAAAACTACATAAGAAAAACCTCATGACTACAAAAATGTTCCATGTTAGGTACGTTCTTTATTGTTTATACTTAGTTAGCTATTGCCGACACCAATATTGGATTCAATATCAGCCTAGCTACATGTATAAAACCAGAGGATTCAGAATATCCGGCAAAAATTTTAAAACGAGGAGCTAACATCCTTAACATTGATTTTTTAAAGGAAATTTCAAACTAGTTGAAGCCAGTTATGATAGAAACATTTCTTGTAATACTGATCACTTTTGGTCGGTATTAACGAACCACAGAGTACTTTAATGGTTTTATGTTTGACCCAATACAAATATGTAGGAAATGTTTTCAGCTTGATGAAAACTTCCTCAAAGAATTGATTTCAGATAGAATAGAACTTAGGATCTTGTAAGGTTATGGTCTTTTGCTTCCATTAGGGTAATATATGGCCTATAGCAGGTCATTCTGCACTTGGTGGAAAAAATTGGCCAAGTGATTGATACAGGGTTAGATCAGAAACAAAATGTATTGTTTTTATCTTGATAGGTATGGAGCCATTCCTGCCTCAAGAAGATGTATAAGCCTGTATGAATTGAATAGGTAAGTTAAAATCGTTAATTGTAAATATAAAAATAAGAAGATGTGGTATGATTGCCAATGCATGGTTTAAATATGAATAAAACTGTAAAACCTCCAACTCAAAACTTTCAAAGAGTCTTCCCTTTAACTAAAAATGATTGTGTCACTGGTCGAGACTTTTTCTTCAATTATTTCTTTACAGGTATGCTTAAATTTTACTGCAGCAGATGCAGGTCTTGACAAATAATGTCTCTTCATTGATGCTAGCGGCCAAAAACAATCTAGAGCTAATAAAACCAAAAAGTACCAAAAGTAAAGCAAAACCTGGACAAGGGTTCAGGGCAGTGTGTAAGGGAGATACATTCCTTAATTTAAAATGAATCCAAAATTTGATAACAGCAAAGGACAAGGTTCACTTTAGGCCATATTTTGGCCTTAAATTTCAATTTTACCATAAAGTGTCAAAACGGCCATAATTTGGTTCTTAAATGGGTCAATTCCAAAAGCCTTACTACTAGCTTAAACGAATCTCTTCATAAGAGTACATTCTAGGCTTCAACATCAGCACATTTCGTATATATTGCCAAAATATGATGATTTTGTGCATTTTTCAGACCTAAAAGCTTGGAGAAATCCTTGGCTGCAACCTATGATCCAAAATGATTTGTAGTCAAAAGATGTCAATGACGATATTGAACCCCTGGACACAAAGAAGTTCTGCATCAGGGGTGGCAGCCAAAGTTACCTATGCAAAAAAAATTTGACCAAAACTGATGTTTCATCACAAATAATGCACAATCAAGGGGTCATTACTTCGTCATTATGCCCCCGCCATAGCAGAGGGGGCATTAATTTTTACCCTTGTCCGTCGGTATGTATGTTCGTCCCAAAATTGGTTTCCATTCTCTAACTTCAGTTTGCCTCAACCAAATGTTATGAAACTTATACACAATGCCTATTACCACAAATCACAGATTAAGTTTGAATTTTGGTGGCGTCACTTTTACCGTTCTAGAGTTATGCCCCTTTACAAATGGAAAATTGCTGAATTTATCGTTTCCGTTCTCTAACTTTGATTTGCCTCAACCAAATGTTATGAAACTTATACACAATGCTTATTACCACAAATCACAGATCAAGTTTGAATTTTGGTGGCGTCACTTTTACCATTCTAGAGTTATGCCCTTTACAAATGGAAAAATTGCTGAATTTTTTGTTTCTGTTCTCTAATTTTATTTATAATGTGATGTCCCAAAAAGAAGTTATTTCATATTAAGATAGCACAATACAAAAGCAACTAAATTTTATCAAAATTTCATTTTCAGCTGTTTTTGTTACTTCATAATATTCCAAAACCACAGAAGAAAAATTCATTTACATATCTTGAACTGTTAATGAGTTTTGATGAAAATTAGTTTTATAAACAAATGCACATGTCTGACTGATACAAGATAAGAACATGTGGGCAGTACTTTGTGGTTAATCAATAGAATCATTTGATAGCTTTATGACCACTGACCAGCAATACAAATAACAGTTACGAAAAAGAGGTGGATTAGGGATTAATGGAAAAATGAAGATAATGAATTCCATATAAAAATACATTTCATTAATGGAGCTGCCAGGAGAAAAAAAAACAAAGTAACAATTTGGAGATATAGAGGGAATCAAAATATAAATGTAAAGAAATTAAACAAATGTAATTGTATAACAATTAATGTACTGGAATTTCTTGGGGGAGAATGTTTAGATGTGAATTCTTTTTAAAAGAAAATACAAATTAAATATTTCATTTTCAAACTGCAAAATTGAACAAAATCTACTTTGTGTTAAACACCATATTGTCCTTGTATACAATTACAATTCTAAAAATCCCCCATAAGGATCCCCTAAACTGACCAACTGATCATTTTGTGTACACATGCATAACTTACTTTTTGTAATAATAAAAAAACAAAATATATTATGTTATGTACTAAATGAATAAAAAAGTAAATGCAATGTGTAATTAAACTTCTGAGATCATTAGTAGTAAAGGTTTATCATGGTGGGCGGAGTTTTGACCATATCAGTAGCAACTGACTTACAACAAGGTCAATAATGATATAACATCTCCCGCCAGATCTGGTTTTTGATGCATAGGGTGTGTATTTTCTCTATATATTTAGAATTGCTGAAACTGAATGCTTTCTTACTGGTCAAAACCTAATTGACTTATGATTGAAGGCCAATCCTGAAATATCCCAATGGTTCATGTGTGAATTATATTGAAGTTAATGAGGTACAAGTAGGAAAATCCTTATTTATTCAATTGTGACACATTCATTTTTGTCATGAAAATGTAGTTTTAAATGAATTTAGCTCCTAGATGGGTGCCCCTATATGTCTGATTTTCACACACATTGTTCCTTGACCAGTTATCTTCAAAAGGGTGTCTCAGATTTCCAAAAACAAATTTTATACCCAATTAAATTTAGTGATCTCTTATGAATTTAGGTTGCAAACTTCATTGAAGGTTTATGAGAGAATGAAATACAATAGGAAAAATCTGAGACACTCTTTTGGAGGTCAAACTGTGTTATACAAGAATCTATAAAATATTTTGGGATGCTACGAATAAAGAAGCTATTTTCATTCAAGTGTGGACATCTCAATATAGCAACTAATTACATAATAATTAATTATGTAATAATTATGTCAAATTGACGTTTTCAGCATTTGAAAGATTAATCTTTCTTCTTTCTTTTGGTACCTCATTTATAAAATTTAAAGGTAGATGAAAAAAATTACATCAGTTTAAAGTTGTCTGATTGGGAGTGAAAAATCTTTGTATTGTGCCACCTTAATAGTAATATCACAATTATTTCTATGTGAATTTTGTAGTATTTTGACCTGATTAAAAAAAACATCTAAATCTGAGGGCCAGTTTTAACCCTTCATGAATTTACTCCTTTGAATAAAACAATATCAGTATTTTCATGCCAGTACAGACGTACTGGCCATTAGGCTAGTGATACCCTAGAATATTCTGCTTGCATGGTTCTTTTAAGTGTCCTTAGTGCATCTGCCTCATCTTTTTATGTTGTTAAAATTTGTTTCTATTGAATATAAATAGCCTCAGTGGTCTCATGATAGCATTGTTTATGAAGGGTTATGGGTTCAATCCATAGTCAGGTCAAACTGTGGACTGGAAATTGTATCTGCTGCTTCTCCACTAAGAATGTGTTGATTTTAAAAGCATAGACTGGTTTACTTGGAGTCAGTATAATTTCTCCGGTAGGGTGACATGTCTTCTTGATGACTGTTACCTTGTGAACCAGCAGGTTAAAATTCTGGCTCGGCACATCAGTCTTTTGAATTAGCATGTTAAAATTCTGGCTCAACACATCAGTCTAGAACAGAGCAGGCTTTATATTCATATCACATTATCAATATGCATATAGTAGTTGCCACTGGACATAAGAGTTGTCCGTTCATCCATCTATCAACTGAACTTATATTGTATGTAATTCTCTTAAAAATTTTGAAAATGAATTCACATGCATATATTATGGATTTTCATCTAAACTGTTATCAAAATAAGTTGTTAAAATGATAAATTAAGAGCATGGCATGGCTGTTGATTCCATGAAAGCACACCAGGGAAAAACTGCTGATAAAAGGATATTTGGGATGAAAGATAATGACAAATTACTGTAGATTCATTATTATTCATGGGATACCAATTTAAGTTGATTTAGTAGGTCAAGATAAACTACAAATTTAATTGTTCTACGAAATAAAAATTTTATATTGGTTTGTATGCATACATTGGCAAACCCACAAAACCAAGTATCCATGAAAATGCAATTTTTCTCAAATAACAATAATTGGTACCCACGAAAAAATGAAGGAGTCCACAGTCATCAAAATAGACCATCAGTGTTTTTATGCCCCCACCATAGCGGAGGGGGCATTAAGGTTTACCCTTGTCCGTCTGTACGTATGTACGTCCGTCTGTATGTCCCAAAATTGGTTTCCGTTCTCTGACGTGAGTTTGCCTCAACCAAATTTTATGAAACTTATACACAATGCTTATTATTACAAAACACAGATGAAGTTTGAATATTGGTGGAGTCACTTAAACCGTTCTAGAGTTATGCCCCTTTATAAATGGAAAAATTGCAAAATTTTAAGTTTCCGTTCTCTAACTTAAGTTTGCCTCAACCAAATGTTATGAAAGTAACACACAATGCTTATTACCACTAAATACAGATCAAGTTTGAATTTTGGTAGCGTCACTCTAACATTTCTAGAGTTATGCCCCTTTATAAATGGAAAAAATTGCAAAATTTTTAGTTTCCGTTCTCCAATTAAAGTTTTCCTCAACCAAATGTTATGAAACTTATACACAATGCTTATTACCACAAAACACAGATCAAGTTTGAATTTTGGTGGCGTCACTTCAATGGTTCTAGAGTTATGCCCTTTTATAATGGAAAAATTGCTAAATTTTTAGTTTCCATTCTCTAAAGTTTGCCTCAACCAAATGTTATGAAACTTATACACAATGCTTATTATCACAAAATACAGATCAAGGGAGAAATTTGGTGGCGTCACTCAAACCGTTCATGAGTAATGCCCCTTTATAAATGGAAAAATTGCAAAATTTTTAGTTTCCATTCTCTAACTTAAGTTTGCCTCAACCAAATGTTATGAGACTTACACACAATGCTTATTACCACAAAACTCAGATCAAGTTCAAATTTGGATAGCGTCACTTTTACCGTTCTTTAGTTATGTCCCTTTATAACTATATGATATGCAAAAGGGGGCATCATCTGTCGACACATGTGGACACAATCCACATTTATTTCCATAATGTTGTGACTGATACACAAGCATTTGAACCTTAAGGTGAGATCCACATCAGATGTTTACTAGAAAAGTAAAGGGAGGAAACAACTGATCTCTTAGTTTTAACTTGCATATTCTTACAAACTATGAATAGGAGTTTAAAAACCCACTTTGTTCAATAGATAAGTTGAATTTAAATGGAAATAGCATTTCTAAACAATACAGAATTTATTCTAACTACTGAAAACTATGATTCTCTAATTTGTGAATAATTGTTTTATTTGTTTCCAGTGTTCCACAGATTTTACATGTATTTAACCAGACATCAGGGGAGCTAATCAGCAGTATTACAGATGTGATAGAAAAGTTTGATCCAGAAGAAGCATATTGGAAGGTAAGAGGTTAAACAAATACACACTGACATTCATACACAGATAATGACCATTGCTGAAGAGGATATGCCTCTATTTAGTGTTTAAAAAATGATGGACACCCCTTACAATCTCCTTTCTTTTCCAAACCATTCTTTGAAAAAGTTGACTAACAATCAAGATTTTAGTTAAATCTTAAATTCTTGATAATTTGTATTCTAGCAGCTTAGTATAAGGAAGCATATAAAAGAGGTTTGAGCTGCATTATAAAAGCAGGTCACTTACGTTCATGACCTTAAATTTCATGTTTCATTTACATTGGTTAAAGTTTTATGTCGGGTTTTTCTCCTTGAGTACTATATATAGCTATAAAGTACTGTAACTGATGTACTTTTGTGTTTGGGTGCATTTTGGATTGTTTGTCTGTTTTAATTGAAAAGGTCTTGATTACATTTACTTTCCAAATGTAGTTCTTTGATTCTATGCAGATATCAAATGAAGTTGGTGTCTGCACTGAGTTATGATACCATACACATACCCCTGATAATGTCAGTTATGAATTAACTATGTATACACACTGTGAAAAAAATGCAAAAATATGGCTAAATTTGTAGTTAATGTCAATGATGTAGCACCACAAGTTCACAACGCATCAGCAAAATCAAAGATGTATCTACCAGAGTTCTCAAAATCTTTTTTCCCTGGCGGTCTTTGAAGAATATCTGCTAGTCCTCACTATGAGTTCCATAGCAAAATACCAAAATTGTGTTGGTCTTTTGTAAAATTTTGGTGGTTAAAACCTTAGGACCAACACAAGAATTCTGATGTGTTAATTTTGTTGCTGTTGGCCTTACACCACTAGTAATTTGTTTGATACCATAAGCTCAGTTTAAATGCTTTGACTATCATGAGGAAAACATTTATATCTGTTGTTTGTTTTAGGGTGAGTCTGGAGAGGAAATAGAAACAGAAAGTATAGATGGAGATTACGCGGATATGGACCAAGAAAAGATAACTCTTACCATTGATACACTGCAGTATAAGAGGTTTAAAATTCATTTAAGTTTCAACTATTTCATATTTATGGCGTAAAAGTCATTAAATAACTGAGTTATAGATTTTTTCATTGCATGTAACCAATGAATTGAGAAAAATGATGCTATTGCATTTAAAAAATTCCTGTTTACAAGTTTTGATTTAAGACTTCACTTAATTTTTGAAAAGATTTCGACATCAATTTGAGTTTTTTAGGTATATGGAAAAAAATAGTGACCTCTTTCATGAGATAATAAACTCATCATAGATACTAGGCGTAAAATTTTGTACGCAAGATGCGTGTCTACAAAAGATTCATCAGTGACACTCAAATCAAAAAGGTCAAAACCACATTAGTTTTACTTTCCTCCAGGGGATCTTTCCTACATTTATAACTGTTCTTTACTGATAAAGCTAATGAAGTGAAACTTTTGTCTTACGTTAAACTAATTTCCTGAAAACTTGTCTAGATTTAACTTTGTTTCAGTACCATGCTTTAGTTTGAAATCTGAATATTTACTATATTGATTGATTGGTGTTTAACGCCACTTTCAACACTATTGTGCTATTTCATGGCGGTCAGTTTTTATTGGTGGAGGAAGCCGGAGAGAACCACGGACCTTTCGGTAGGAAAACTCACAATCCTAGTCAATTAAAATTGGAGTCCAGTGCACCTGTCCGGTGTGGGATTCAACTGGAATATTTATTATAAATTCAAGCATTGTTTTGTTGATTTTGAAATCAAGTTGATATTTTCAAGAATTTAAACAATCTAAATAAGGTAAATTCAGAAATGTGTGCTTGATTTAATTATTGTGATTGTTCAACATAAGATTATGATTTCAGGAAAGGCTGCATACAATAATACTATCAAAATTTAATTTGCAAGTCAAAAATTTGGAAAAACCTATCCAATTTTTGCATTACTAAAAACAGATTAAAATTTTCTGAGTTTAAAATACAGTATCACTTTAAAATTGAAAAAATATATAGACTATTGTGATTTGTTTCAGAAAAAGAATTTTGCAGTCGTTGATGGATGTAACTATTAGTCAGAGTGAAGAGGTGGTAAATGAATTAAATAATATTGAACAACAAATATCTCAACTGAAAACAGCATTAGAGAAAGCCCCTAAAGCTAGTAAGTAGTTTAAATACACACAATTAGAATAAATTATACTCGAGTAAACATTTTTCATAAAGCTCTTGGCAGAGTCACAGTTAAGGTCAAAATACAGTAAATAAGCTTTGTCACAGATTTTCTAAAAAAAATTGCATACACCTTTGGATCGTTGAACTGTATCTGAAAATCCAAAAAATAATGCCTTTATCTCATTTTTTCTGAAATATTACTGAGTGAATTCTTTCAAAGTAGGTGCCCATTTGTATAGAAAGCACATGAAGTCAGCTAATAACTTTCTTAGATTTTGTCTTTAAATCATCAAATTTTCAATTTTTACTACATAGATTTTTCTTAAAAAATCATATGTTGTTGGTACAAAAATTTCCTTTTAAATGGTGAAAAATAATAATAGGGTCACTGACTTTGTTTTTACAGTATACATCAATCAAAGAGGTATACTAAGTGAAATTTTTTTTTAAAAACTTCAAAATAATCATAATGTCATCGCTTTGTAGACCATAAAACGTTGATTCTTGATGTTTTTCACTACCTACAAGGTAACAGATCGGTTAATACACAAAAAGCGAAGTCTGTGACCATATGATTATTTTATATCATTTAAATGGATGTTTATGTATCAACAACATATAGTTTTTTAAGAAAAATCTATGTAGTAAAAATTAAAAGTTTTATGATTTTAAGGTAAATTTATGAACGTTTTTCGTCCGTTTCATGTGCTTCCTATACAAATGTTCTCCTATTTTGAAAGAATTTAATCAGTAATATTTCAGAAAATAAAAGAATTATTTTTTCGATTTTCAGATATAATTCAACGAGCCCAAGATATATGCAAAATTTTAGCAAAATCTGTGACATAGCCCATTCACTGTTCCTTGACCTTAAATTTAAGGTACAATTTTATTTACAAAATTCTTTTAAAAGGCATTATAGGACTTATTTTCCAGAGCTTACTGTTTTCACTAAACAGGAGTATTCTAGTAAGGGTATTGTGTACTTTTCCTTTCAGAAACCTGCATAAAATAGTATATTAAACCCTCAGAGGGAAGGGGTAAACTCCTTAACGTATGTCTATTTGTTGGTCTCTTTTATTCTCTTTGAAATTATGTATTAAGCTACATGAAAGCATGCTAAACTGTATGATGCCTCTCCACATCTATTGCTCATCAAATTCCTGTGAACCAAATACTTCTACAGTTAACTTTTGTTGTCTCGAACTCATTTGACTTGAAATTTCAGATGAGTTAAAATTTTTCTGTTGTCCTGAACTTTGTTCCATTCAAATACCGGTTTATGTATTTCGACTCCTGATGAGTCGAAATTTCAGTTGACTCCAACCAAATGTACGGTCCTAAAATTAACGAAAGCATTTAAATTGCCTTACTTATCTCATACCAATGTCAAAACATGACCCGAAGGATTTAAATGGATTGAAGAGTTTATATGACAATACACCTTTAATTAAATTTCTGGTCGTTGACCACTGTAATGATTTATAACATTCTTTTCCCAGATTATCTTTGATATAATAAGCATAATAAATAATTAGCATTATACATTGTTATAGATTGTGAAAAATTATTTTAAATGTTTTATAATCAATTAATCGTAATCATATATTGAAGAGCTTGATAGTACATAAAGTGAGGATTAAGTCAGCAACACAAAACTACTCAATCATATTTTGACTTTTTTCTTGTAGAAAAAGATAGAAATAAAAGAAAATGAAAAGAAGTCTAAATTTTCTCAAATCACTTGTATACGAGAATGAACAATTTTGTCAACTTAAAATTACGCTAAGAGCAATTAGAAATGGACTAAAAAACATATAATTTTATTATAATGATAAAAAACCATTATACATCTGAAATTCAGACCATAATATTGATCTAGATTTTTTTAGCCTTACCAAGCTAAGTAAGAGTTGTGTCCTTTGGTCTGTCAAACTTTCGTTATTTCTTTGAGTCAAACTACAGGTATCTTGAAATATTCTCTGGTCTGACTGACTTCGAGATAATAAGAGTAAACTGTTTATTTTTACATATAATGGCCATGCTTAAAATTTTTGAAACATTTTTCTAAGGAACTAGGAATCAGGTAGCTGAAATTTATATAAAGTGACCAGTTTTCACATCCATTGCTTGTCAACATCCTGTTTACTGAATATTTATAGCAGGCATCATTAATGAGTAATAGGTCACAGTACATCTTGTTTTTACAGTTTGAAGCAGACAGTCTAAATCTTGTACTTCAGAATGGAAAATGCTTAAGCCTAAATTATTTTTTTTATAGATATTGATTGTTTTGAATATATAAATCATAATTATCAATAAAGAAGGCTTGCAACTACAGGTCATATGAAGTGAATATAGGATTTGGTATTCTTTATGACAATTTTCTCAACTACAAGTAAAATCTGTTTGATATATAGCACCAAGTTTCATATGCTTATGCCACAAATTTTTTAGCTTCTTGGATGTTCTACATCTCGTTGCTGAAAACATATCTTTAAAATGTCATGAACAGATATGGAAATCTTGTCACATTTTTCTCAGCAACTACATGTCATATCTTCTTGATTGAATGATTTACATATTTTCTGCAGATTATAAAGTCAACAAATTTGTTATAATAAGTGAGCAATTGATCTTTTCTTAGATTTCAAATGTGTGTTTGCTTTGGCTATGCACAAAGTCAATTTGATTACAGTCCAAGGGTCGCAGAAAGCTCGACATAGGGACAGTGATCCGGCGGCGGCGGCGTTAGCTAACTTCTTAAAAGCTTTATATTTTAGAAGCTAGAAGACCTGGATGCTTCATACTTTGTATATAGATGCCTTATGTTACGAAGTTTCCGTCTGTCATATGTCCATTGTCCTTGACCTCATTTTCATGGTTCAGTGACTACTTGAAAAAAAAGTCAACATTTTTTGTAATGTTAATTTCTTTCTTATTATGAGTAATAGGATAAATATATTTAGTATGTGCGTACCTTGCAAGGTCCTCATGCCCGTCAGACAATTTTCATTTGCCCTCAACCTCATTTCATGGATCAGTGAACAAGGTTAAGTTTTCCTGGTCAAGTCCATATCTCAGATACTATAAGCAGTAGGTCTACTATATTTGGTATATGGAATGATTGTAAGGTGTACATGTCCAACTGGTAGGTGTCATCTGACCCTGACCTCATTTTCATGGTTCAGTGGTCAAAGTTAAGTTTTTGAGTTTTGGTCTTTTTATGCCCCCGCTGTAGCGGTGGGGGCATTAAGTTTTACCCTTGTCCGTCTGTACGTACGTACGTACGTCCGTCTGTACGTCCCAAAATTGGTTTCCGTTCTCTAACTTGAGTTTGCCTCAACCAAATGTTATGAAACTTATACACAATGCTTATTACCACAAAACACAGATCAAGTTTGAATTTTGTTTTCTAATACTATATGCAATAGGTCAACTATAAATGGTGTATGGAAATATTTTATGATGTACATGTCAGTCTCACAGGTTTTATTTGACCTTGACCTCATTTTCACGGTTCATTTCTCAGTGTTAAGTTTTTGTGTTTTGGTCTGTCTTTCTTCAACTATAAGCAATGAATCAACTATATTTGATGTATGGAAGGATTGTAAGGTGTATATGTCTGTCTGGCAGGTATCATCTGACCTTGACCTCATTTTCATGGTTCATTGGTCAATGTTAAGTTTTCATGGTTAAGTTTGTTTCTTAGATACTATAAGCAATAGGTCAACTATATTTAAAGCCTAAATTGATTGTAAGGTGTACATGTCTGTCTGGCATGGTTTATCTGACCTTGACCTAATTTTCATGGTTCATTGGTCAATGTTAAGTTTTCTTGTTTAAGACTGTTTCTTAGAAACAAAAACAATAGGTCAACTATGTTTGGTTTATTGAATGATTGTAAGGATCTGACCTTGACCTCATTTTCTTGGATCATGTTAAGTTTATGTGTTACTTGTAGTAAAGCTTTGTATTTAGGACTATCAACATAAAATCAATGGTTAGTAAAGAAGGCGAGACATTTCAGCGTGTGCACTCTTGTATTCATTAAGGAAGACAAATGACACTTGACTCGAGAATCCTTCTATTTTAATCCAAATAAAACATATAAACCATTTATGATCAATCAGCTGATTCGGTACAGCGTACGATAAAGGTAGATTTATGTAATAGTTATCCTACGAGGACGCAGTGTGTCAGTGTAAGATCAACCCGATGGCCGGAGGCCAGAGGGTGATCTTACACTGACACACCAAGTCCGAGTGGGATAACTATTTTACACCCCAGCTCTTCTAGACTATATGAAAAAAACATTATCGCTTCATAACATCTAGTTCAGAATGCCATACAAAAATTATAGTATACTTTATATATAACTATAGAGTATATACCCTTTATGAGCCCCGGATACAATGTTTAAATATGTTAAATTAACAGTTAGTTTGTATCCAGTGGTCCTGGTGTAGGGGTATGAATCGTGGCTTCATATGCTTCAGGTCTTGAGTTCGATTCCCGGCATAGACACTGAAAATTTAGTGATTTTTTCCACAGAATTTTGAAAGTTAGTCTTTGTTCTGCTTAAATATTTCTAAGTTTTATTGTGTTTTCGACATTCCCGGCAAAATGCTACAGAACAAAAGAAAGCATGCAGAACAAAGAAACTCAAGGTAGGGTGATCTGGTAGGGGTGATCCGACTCAGATCACCCTTGTTAGAACGAAGGAGTTGGGATGTAAGTTAACTGAGTTTGTGTATGGAAAATGGGGATCAAAATGGGTTAATTGATAATCCTTTATTCAAAAGATCTATTTTACTGTTAACTTCTAGGTAGGTAAATGGTAGATGGAGATATAAAGATTTGTAAAAGTGGTAAAAGCGTAATTTAGAGGAATGTAAAATTTTAAAACAGAATATTGTATAAAAAAATGAAAACTAATGTAATTTAAATTTGAAGTTATACATATAATAATATATAATGAAATATACT